ACTACGTTCTAACTGGTCGTCGAAATTCTCTTCAGTTGATCAAACGAAGGTATTCTCTGTTTTCTTTTAGTTTCATTCATCAGCTCATTCATTTTTTTTTTTTTCCATCGTATTCCGAAATCGAGATTCTAGTACGATGTTTTAAAATAGTTTATTATTTTATACGAATTTCGTCATTATATTTTTAGTCGATGATCATCTCCGTACTACGCGTAAAGTAGCCGTTTTTTAAAGATGCTAGTTCAGTACATGAAAACACACGTTAATTAACAATAGTGTAATTTTAATTAATATTTTTTTACGTATTACTTATTCCCGCGCTAAGATGTACTAAAGTTGTGTATAATTATCAGCTAGAATTAAATATATAAATATTTCTGTTTTCACCGCCATTATTACATTTTTTTTTTGTTTTGTTTTTTTTTTCTCTTTTTAAGAAAACGCTTTTTAGATACTGTTTGTTTTCTAACTTATCGTCGGTAAAGGGACGGAGAACTTTATAATTTTAAAAACGACATCGAAACGATCTGTACAGGCTATAGTTGTAAAATGATAAAATCTTCTGTACGACGTTTGTACATTTGTCGTCGTGATATTTAATTCTTTTTAATGTATCCGAAACAAATTAGGAATCAACACAGTGAAACTTGTTGATACGAATTTAATTTTAATGTATTAAATACTCTAATCACGTTAACGGTCTTTCTTTCGGACGAATATCGTTTTTTCTGCGTTCTTTGGGTGTTACACTATGTCTGTGTACATACATCGTACGCAACTTCTTGATCAGATTTTCGGAGCAATGATCATCCGTTTTGGGCCGATCGCGGTTCAAATCACATTATTTATAGATCGACCCGTGGAACGTCCAGGCTAGCCCAAGTTCACAATGGAGACGCTTCTTTTTGTACATAATGAATGATATATAATCGTTAAACGATGATACAACGCTAAAGCATACGTGTTTTTATTTGGAATGAGTCTGTGATGATGTGTCTGGAATTTAAATAGCTTCAACTGTTATATACCAGTGCGAAAAAAAAAAAGATTAAAAATGTTAGGGGAATTCGAAGAAGAGTTTACGTCGAATGTGTGTAAGACATAATATAGAAACGCATTCTCGCACATTGCATTATTGTCTTACGTAAGAATCACTTTAAATGTTCTCTCCTTTGGTGAAGTGGGTTTTAAAACAAAAAAAAGTGTAATTTCTAAGTGTTGTACATAGTACACAATATTAATTTTTAAGTTGAACAAGTAGGTATATGATCCGCTAGTTTAATCGTATGCTAATTGTAAGAGTTTAGATTTTAGTGTAAGTAAACGTAGCTAGCATTTAGGGATTTAGACGCCATGAACTGACTAGGGAAGTCATTCCCAACCTACGTTCTCTTATTAATAAAATGAATATATGCAGGCGATTCAAAAGAAAATTTAATCGATGGAATATCATCCGTCAAGCGAATGGATGTGAATTTATTTGATTTTCATTGGAATTTCAAGAAAACTCCGAATGTACGCTCTGACTATCAACAAAAATACATTACGCAGTTAAACATTTAAACGCATCAAGCATTGGTAAACATATATTCTGTACACCTAAAGAATTTTTATATAGCCTAATTTTTAACCGTGCCCCTTTATTTAGTAATATGACATTATTGCTACACCCTAAATTGCTCCTACCATATGTTATGAATTATATGTATACGTATACCGCAGTTCACCAGAGTCCATAACTGCGAAAACCAGTTTTCGTTCTTTCGTGCGCATCTTCGCCCTGATTGGCGATACTCCCAAACGAAGTGGAAAGCGATTGGCGGAGAGCTCGCTGCGTTCCCCCACCATTTTCCAACTTGCGCGTCGCAGTTATGGACTCTGGTAAACTGCGGTATACATAACATTTCATTGATATATTTCACATTCGGTCAGATAATGCGCGAGTGCCTCTACATATTTGCACGTACTGTTATTTGAATAAATACGTATCGTTCTGTTTTTATATGGTGGATCACGGTAACATCATCTTCGTTTCATTAATATAACATGTGTCATTTTCATTTGACGAGGGTTCATATTGAACGGAGTGTCCATTTCTGTACAAATTGCACGCACGTTAAATACGTGTTCGATAGAAAATATTCGAATCATAGTATCGGTAAAATAGAATTTGTTGCATATATACAATACGATTGTCTAGAGTATAATGTCGAAATACGTCTCGAAACTGATGTCATAGATCTTAACGAAGCCTCCTTAAAGGATAGCGAATCGATCGAAATAATGATGTGAAATTTGAAGACTCGTATATTGATTACCATGTTTCTTCTACCATTACACTTTTTATGGAGAGGTTGAGTTTTTCCTAATCGTTCGTACTCTTTAACGTGAAGGAAAAATACTCCATAATTTATAATAACAGACAATGGTATATCGGGACACTTCAGGATTGGCGAATTCGTTGTTCATTATTCACCAAGTACATACCTTATCATTATTTCTTTACAATACAAAACGAACAATCATCAATTTCTCACATTAAACCTATTATTTGAAGTAATTATTGGATGCGTTCGAACAGTGTTATCCTTTCATAATATCAGATAAAGCCGCATATTCTCATAATCAGTATTATTTCAATAATCTAATTACCATGACGCCAGAAACAATTTGCAAACAAAATTTCAACGATCCGAGTTTTATGCGTAGACACTATACACAAGAATTTTCCATAAAGATAATATTTCAGACGAAGAAGAAAATCGGGATCCTGAAGAAATACCATGTTAAATGCTTCCAGAATTAAAGATGTGGAGGTGAATACGAAGACATTGAAAAAACTAAGGGTAGTAGTCGAGGACAATTTTCTAACCCGATCACCGTGATCTCTACGTTTCTCTGCTTTTTTCTTTGCTCTAAAACTCCACGATTGAACCCACGCGCGTTTATGTTTCTCCGTACTATTCTTCCCGGGCATAATTTCAAAAAAACGAGTCACCACATTTATCCATAATGTGTTTAAGAATCTTGAAGAGCTGCTTTGAATATATACAATATACAATCGTTTGTATAAATATTTTCAAGATTAATGTTTGCTCAGCTACTACCCACGCGTTTTAGAGAAACACAAGAGAAGATGGCGGTGATGCGTGAATGGCAGCCCTCTTTTAAGATACTTGGTAGCCTCTTAAGAGGAAAAATACGAATATATCATTGATACGGACAGGCAAATCGCATCTCGGACTATTATTATATAAATTAGACGACGTAACGTAACCGTAAAACGCCGTGTATATGTACCTACTCGTTTGTAACCGGAAGGAAGGCCGATATCTATCGTTCGATCCCTCTTATGCAAGAAGTCTGTATATAGGTAAATGATAAAAACACGCCGAGGTACTCAGCTCCCTCCTAAAAACATTGTATCATAATAGATGATGATGATGATGATGCATATAATGCAGTTACGCTGTATGCGAGAAACTAAGGTGACAAAAAAAAAAAACGAAACAGGATTTAAAAAAGGAAAAAAAAGAAAAGAATAAGTGAAATAATAATAATATTATTATTAATAATAATAATGAAAAAGGCTAAGAAGCGATATTACCTACGAGAAACCGCTATTAATGCGAATTAATTCAAATAAAATTAACTACAATTAATAGCGAGCGAGAGCATACCACGCCTACAGTAAACTACAGGTGTAGCATACACGATAATATTATTATCAAAACAGTTCAATGTAAATTGTTATTTTTGTTGAAATAAAAAATCACCTCCGTTATAATAACGAGCACGCTTCTGATTCTTGATTGTTTCTCTTATATTTCTTTGCCTGTTGAACAGCCGATACACAGAGCGTACATATTAATAATATATTCCAACACATTCAGTGCCGGATGAAGTTTCTAATTAAGAGGATCGTTCAGATCTGTAACTTGTGCCGCAAATATTCGATTGTAGTGAAAAATTTTTTAAGTATTAAAATGACGTAATGTGCCTCTAATTAATTTCATGGGTCACCGGTTACTGGCACGGCACGGAACGTGTTAAATGATTTTTGGGGATAGAAATTAATCTGATTTATATAGAATTTAATGTTTTTCCTTTTTTCGTAACACTTGACTGAAGATAAACATACAATATAAATATAATGTACCTGTTGAAAATAATGGTATGTACTTGGTAAAATCTAATTAGGATCATTTTACCAGATGCCTGTTCTTAATATTGTATCCCTTTCGATCGAAGTTTCGTTTACATTCTTTTTAAATTCTTTTTTATACATATAAGATGAACGCGTACAAAATATACAAATAATGTGGATATTTCTGTCTATGCATCCAGTTAACAATTATTTCATAAGTCAAAACTATACGACATTGCTCGCAATTGTGTGAACGATAACGTATTTTTACTTGATAGAATTGATCATGTTATTTTTTAATTATAAATTTTGAACTAATGTCTATTAAATATATATTTAAAAGAACACGTAATGCAATATTGAATGTAATTTCTGTAAATATAAGAAAAAAATATATTCATTAAAAATCAGTTCAAAATTTATTCAAATGATTGTTTTCTCATATGTTTTTAAATCGATTCAAAGGTTTTGTTCTAATTTGACTTATTTTATTGGAAAATATTTTTTTATTCTTTTTGACAATACAAATTTCTGCTTACATCATTATCTATAAGTTATTCTAGTATTGTTTATTGTTCAGGATACAAATTTTGTAATACTAAATAGTACAAACGAATAAAAAATACATTTCGTAGTAAAAATAATATTCTTGATGTTATACAATGAATAAATTTGTCCAAATAATTACGAGCAATGCTATATATTCATAATTATCCATTTTGTATTTAATTGTAAGATGGAAACCTGTGGCGTGCACAGGTGACCACAGATACAAAAAGATTGAACATAGCTTTGGTCTTGAGGGGTCCTAGACACCCCACGTGAGATTAAACCTGTATGTAGGGAGCACAGTCATACTGACGATGAGGGTCGTATCTGTTTCACCGGTTCCATCAAAGACATAACTTTTATTCCCTTTAATCCTATTTTTGAGAAGGGGTTAAATTTCTGCCTTCTCAGTTTAAAACATGCACGACTGTAAGTCTTGTAGAAACGTTTGCGTACCCATGTGAAGTCAGCTTCAATTTGCTTTAACAGAAAATTGCGCAGCTTTATATTGGTTTATGTTCATTGCTTCATGGTGCTTATAAGTGAATCAAGTACATACAGGTACAATTGTCAATTAAGTTTTATATTGTAAAAATGACAAAATTAAAATCGCATTAAGTATCGACAATTATAGATAAATAATTTTGCATTTTAACATTTACCACTCTTAATGTGTTTGGTGAAGTTGACAAAGATAAACATATTGTTATTTAACCTTTTACAGGTCTTTAGGTGATATATATCAATTGTATATGTGCTATAAATAAGTCTTTTTCTGAGATAAAATTTATCTAATGAGGTTTTTCGCAATTTTGTGGAACTAAACAATACCAAACAATGTTTCAATCAAACCAAGAGCCTGACATACCCGCGGCTCTAGGTTTACTTTCTCACCTGACCAACGATGAACTGAAGGAACTATTAAATAACGATGGAAAATTTGAAGACATCGTAAAAGATATAAAACAGGTAATTTTTCTTTACTCTTGTAATATTGTAATATACTTGTACAAAATTATATGCAATTAAAATGTTTATTTTCAAACCAGTTTAAGGACTTGGAAACAGAAAAGGAAATGTTAATGGCAAGTAACAGGTCATTGGCAGAATTCAATTTATCAAAACAACCAGAATTGCAAGATGGAAAACAAATACTAAGAGAACTTAGTGAAAAAGGGACAAATTTATGCACTAGTGTTAAGGATAAACTGGATGAAATAAGTATATCTAATTTTATCAGTTTTTTTTAAGCTTGATTGTACATTAAATTATATGTTGATGCAACTAATTAATGTTGTGTTTCCAGGGGAAAAATCTGGAGAGATGACAGTTAATACTGCATTAGATTTATTACAAACAGCAGCAACTGAAATTGAAGAAGAATCAGAGGTACATTACATCCAATATTTAGTAATTAAGAATGTTATATATAATAAATGGTAATAATAATTGCTCTGAATGTACAGACCATAGCAGAGAAGTTTTTGGCTGGTGATATGGAAGTAGATGAATTTTTAGAGCAGTTTTTGTCCAGACGAAAATTGATGCATCTACGAAAAGTAAAGGTAGATAAATTAAGAGAGTTAATAAGAAAATCGCATTCTGTCACTAGTGGTCCCGGTTACCCTATCGCTAGTAATTTTCCTGGTATAGCACCTTCAGTCCCTTATCCAACTGGACCTGTTTCAATGCCAATGCCTGTGCCATCTGGTTTACCACATTATAGACCATATTAAGTTATCTCCAAGAAAAAAAAAGAATTATAAATGAAGTTCCGTTTTAAATAATCTACTTTTACTGGCACATAAAGTATGTAATTATTTCAATATAGCGAAAATGCTATCAAGTTAACAGTAAACGTTATCAACAAATAAATGTGATTAAAACATTTACAAAATTTAATGACACAAGCTGTTTAATTAGTGTACAGAATTTTGTATTATAATAATTGTAACAATAAGTGACACGTGGAAATGCTTTCTAAAACAATTACAACACATGGACATAAACTATGTATAATTTTAATAAATATGTAAGTACATGTTCGTCTAAGGTGTACTAAAAAAATTGTAAGTTACACATACATTTTTTACTTAATATATTATTCACACCTTTTTTTTATTTAGTATTTCTATCTAGATTATTACTACTTACATAATATGTACAATTAGCATATGTACTGCTATTCGCATTTTATTTGATATCATTAAATGTTCCATTTAATTAGTAAGTTTTCATTATTTTTATATAATGTCTCAATTTAACACAAATTTAAAGTACTTTGGTTTTCAATCTTTCACATATTACTAATTAAGGAATTTACTAATTTACATAAGCACTAACTAATTGAAAATGAATTACTCTATATAAACTGAGTGTTTAATTGAAACTAAATATATTTCTTCTTTTATGTATGGTAATACTAATATTTTAATATATTTGTAATGTAACATTAAAAGGAACTGATAAAATACAGTCTGCAACAGTCTGTACAACTATTTTTAATTGCACTTCTATATTAACAACTTATATTCTTCAAAAAATTAATAATTTTACTAAGAATAAAAATCATAATTATTTCGTTTCTTTCTCTAGTGGTATATCATAATCTTCTTTCGGTTTAAAATAAATACTTAAACAAAATCCAATGAAAATTACCACCACCAGCAGGTGACTGCCCTCCTTTTGTCTGGGTTGTTCATGTTTAACTTTAGCAAAGTTCTCTTTAATCCATTTCTTCCGCATATCATTTTCAAATGTTTGCTGGTAATGTTGACGAGTCCATTCATCAAAATCATAAACCTTGAACTTCGGCGATGCGCTCTGTGCAACATTATTTGGTCTATAAACCGGTTTATAAACTACATTTACTTTTCCGTGTCTAACTGCGACAGTTCTATCATATTGTTTACGTGTCTGATAGTTACCAAGTACAGTATATGCATTCGAAATTTCTTGAAACATGTGTTTTGCGGATTCGCTTTTATTTTTATCAGGATGATATTTTAACGTTAATTTGTAATATGCTGATTTTATTTCGTTATGCGTAGCATTTGGACGTATCCCCAAAGTTTCATAATGCGTTTTACTCTTCGTGGATGAAGCTACACGCATATTAATTTGTACCATCAATTGCTTTAATAATTTCAATCTAATTCTTTTATGGATATACATTGTAATAGTTTTATATAAATTGTATTTAAACACACAATTTTTTATTCTTATTGATGGACATTCATTATACATACGTATTATGAGCAATTAACATTTTTTTTTTGACTTTTCGTATAATTTATCATACTTAATGAAAAGTATTTCATTCTTCCCGATACGTACAATTATATGCTTATCGCAATGGTATAACCTATGATAAAAAGATATAGTGATGTTTACATTAAAACGTAAATTGTCGTTGAAAATGTTAGTGAATATAATTAGTTAAATAATACATAACCATTATAATTTGTAATACGCAAACATATATTTATTCCAAATGTTTAATATTGATAATTGTGCAATATGAAGGTTATATAAATCATTTCATATTTATAAAATGATGTATGATACAGACATTTTAATAGTTTTTCTTTCGAATAGATATTAGTAGTCGTTTTCTAAAACTGCTACAGATTTGCAAAAAAATGTATGATATTTAAGATGTTTTAAATAATTTTTGACATACGTGTTCAGAAACGTGTAGAAAACTTTAAAACAGTAACTGGCAATTGTTAGATAAAAAGTTTAATTCAGATACGTAATGAAATTAAATGGGCAATTTCTGATACATAATTTAACAGAAATTGATATTTGTGTATTTAGCGGATAAAATCATTAACACACAAGTATTTCGAAAATATTGAAAGTCGTATACAGTCTAAATCTAACCTATCTAACTCAGGACCTTCAAACTCTATTCATTGTCAGCACTGACTATACACACCCAGAAAGACCAGTATGCCTTTGTGTCGAGGGGTCATGATTTACATGGCACATGTAGCGAATACAAGTTTGTCTTACAATTACTAGTGGAATGCCCCGTGCTAAGCGATACCAAATGAAACTTATAATTGAAATTTTCGTTGTAAACTATTTTACTCCTATTTTTGAGCCTCGCGTGAACCACCCTCCCAAGTCATTTATTATTTTATCTCTCTTCATGGGCCTCGGCTCAACCTTCCCAGTTGTTTATTATTTTTTTGTCTTTCAGAGCCTCACAAGGCCCAACCCTTTATCACTGCATCCCTTACATCCCAGCAACCCTTACGTCTCAGTATTCCTAACATCTCTGCATCCCTTACATTTCTGCATTCGTTTCATCCCTACATTCCTTACATCTCTTCATCCCTTACATCTCTGCATCCCGTACATCTCTGCTTCCCTTCCATCCCTGCATTCCTCACATTTCTACATCCCTTACATCTCTGCATTCCTCACATTCCTGCTTTCTTTACATCCCTGATCCCTTACATGCCTGTATCCTTTACATCCTTGTATCACTTATATTCCTGTATTCCATACATCCCAGTACCTCCTTGAAATTGAGTTGAAATTTTTGCGGCTATAAGGCCCGCGATTTTATACAAACCTAGTTCCTTTTTTCGCCACCAGAGGGCGCTGGTTCGGCATCGAAATTTTAGTTCACATTTTTGGCGCCAGGGGGCCAGAAATCGAGCAAGGTTTGGTTCCCTTTTTCGCCACCAGAGGGCGCTGATTCAACATCGAAATTTTAGTTCACATTTTTGCCGCCAGAGGGCCAGAAATTGAGCGAGGTTTAGTTCCTTTTTTCGTCCCCAGAGGGCGCTGATTCGACGTCGAATCAGCGCCCTCTGGGGACGAAAAAAGGAACTAAACCATGCCAAAATTTTGGCCCTCTAGCGATAAAAATATGAACTAAATTTTCGACGTCGAATCAGCGCCCTCTGGTGGCGAAAGGGGGAACTAAATTTTGCAAAAATTTAAATTTAAAATTATTTTTCACAAGACTTTACTTACCTTTACTCGAAGCAGTCTTTATAATATATTTATTATAAGGGATACAGAGATGAAAAGAATGTAGGATCATAGGAATGTAGGGATGAAAAGAATGTAGGGACGATAATAATGTAGGGATTTAAGGGATGATAAGGATGTAGGGATGAAAAGAATGCAGGGATGAAAGGAATATAGGGATGAAAAGAATGTAGGGATGAAAAAAGTGTAGGGATGAAAAGAATGTAGGGATGAAAAGAGTGTAGGGATGTTAATAATGTAGTGATTTAAGGGATAAAGAGATGTAAGGAATGTAGGGATGAAAGGAATATAGGGATGAAAAGAATGCAGGGATGTAAGGGATGCATAGATGTAACGGAACGAGGGATGTAAAGAAATTCCGTAGGGGTCCGGGGCTGGGGCCCCGGTCTCCACTGCACGCGACCCGAGGAGTGTCGGCAGCGGGTGTGGTCCCCGCTGTCGATGGAGTTTGGCACATGGCGGAGCGTCAAAGGACAATCCCTACCGCTCTAGTGCAGGCCACCGTGGTGGTTTTAGTGGGTAAAAATCCCACACTACCTCCGGCCCCTCCCCAGGGGGGCTGAAGGTGTCTTTCTGAAGATTTCCACCACGTTAAAATAAAAAAAAAAAAAAAGAGTATTTAAGGGTTGCAGGAATGTAAGGAATGCAGGGATGTAAGGGATACCGAGATGTGCTTGGCCTATAATGAGGGATAAAATTATATAAATAACTGGAAAAAGTAAAGTAAATGGGTTCCTCAGCTGAGACCCAGAAGAGGGATATAATCATAAATGTTATTCCCCTTCGATGAGCTTATTTAATAAGCAAAAACAAATAAATGAAATAAATTAAATAAACTCTGGAAAAAAATTATACTGGTTGTGCCCTCTTCATACGGACCTGATATTATCAAGGGGTGTTAGGGACCCGTAAACGTCGGTGAGTATCTTTGCCTACTAATAATATAGCATCTGGGGTGCCAGGGACCCCGAAGCACGAGTGACTATCCCTGCATACCGACATATCATCTTGGGGTGTCAGGAACCCCAAAACACCAATGACTCTCCATGCCTACCGACAATATTGTATCTGGGGTTTCAGGGACCCCGAGGGTCCTCTTGGGGTGCCAAGGACCCCGGGTACCACCCCAGGGGTCCTGAGAACCCCCGGTGCCATTCTGGGGTTCTCAGGACCCCGGACAACAATTCTGGGGTTCTCAGGACCCCGGACAACAATTCTGGGGTTCTCAGGACCCCGGACAACAATTCAGGGGTTCTCAGGACCCCGGACAACAATTCAGGGGTTCTCAGGACCCCGGACAACAATTCAGGGGTTCTCAGGACCCCGGACAACAATTCAGGGGTTCTCAGGACCCCGGACAACAATTCTGGGGTTCTCAGGCACCCCGGAATACAACTCTGGGGTTCTCAGGCACCCACAACCCAGCGACACTGTTTGCATACCGACATTTTGGCATCCGGGGTGCCAAGGACCCCGAAGACTATCTCTGCATACCGACATGATATCATCTTGGGGTGTCAGGAACCCCATAACACCAGTGATACTCTTTGCTTACCGTCATTACGGCATTTGGGGTATCTGAGACCCCGAGGTACCGGTGACGCTGCATACGGATATTCGGCCACCGGGGTTTCAGGGACCCCAAGCAACTAGCGAAATATAAGACCTAAAAACGAACAAATCGTGAAACTCACTTGTTCGGAATAGTGATGGGTTTGATCGGATCTAGCGAAATATAAGAACGGAAAACGAACAAATCGTGAAACTCACTTGTTCGGAGTAGTGATGGGTTTGAGCGGATCTAGCGAAATATAAGAACGGAAAACGAACAAATCGTGATACTCGTTCGGAATAGTGATGGGTACAACCGGATCTGTAGCGCATTAAAAATAGACTCACAATCAATCACAAACGATTTACAAACGAAATACACTAAGAGAAATTAAAAATAGTCATATTTTATTATTCCTTCCGGCTAGCTTCATGTAGGTTACCGACTGTATTTTACCTACCTGTGCCTGGGGGTGTCTGGGACCCCAAAAACATGACCATTTGCGAATAAAGGCATGTCGAGTCTTTTTATATCTGTAGTCACTGGATATACCTACTTTTTGGCTGGATGGTGTATGGACGAAACAGACTTATGTGTATATAGAACATTTATCTTCCAAATATGTAATAGCAATTTTTGAAAATCAGTTGACTAAACAATGGCGGGTCTAGAGAGCTATGAAAGAGTGTATCGTGGAAAATCTATTAAATCTTGGGAAACCGAAAATAATTTAGCGTATATTTATCAAGGACGAGAGGTTATTCGTCCTTTAGATATTCCTGCTGTACATCATTTGGCCGAAGACAGTCCTCCTTCTGAGGAAGGTGAGTTTCAACATAACAAGAAAGAATAACATTATATTTTAAACGATGAGGAACTTTGATATTAAACTATTCATAAAAATTAACATACAAAAATGTTCCAAAACTGTTTTGTATTTCAGATCTTTCTGTAAAAAAATATATGGTTGCTGGTTGTGGATTAGCAACATTAATTGCAGAAACATTACTAGTTCATCCTCTCATTGTTCTAAGGAGACAATGTCAAGTAAATCCAGGATTGAAGAGCTATCACATTGTACCAATTACTTTAATACCTGTAGTTATACGTCTTCACCAAACTCAAGGAATACATACTCTATGGAAGGGAATTGGATCAGTACTACTTGTGAAAGGAATGTTGTTAGCTGTTGAAGATTTTATTTCTAAAATTACACCATGGCCAAAGTAAGTTCACCTTTATGTAATATATACAATATTATATAAATATAATAACATATATACATTAGTAAAAGTAATATATGTGGTTTAAATTAATAAGGTTTTTAATGCTTTCAGAGAAATAACATGTAACAGTTCATTAAAAGCATTTGGTCAACATATTCTTCTTAAATGGTAACAGTAAATTAGTACACGTATATATTTATATGTATTTCATTCAATAAAAATTTGTATTAAAAAATAATGAAAAATATGACAGTGTTTCTATAGGTTTAGTGACACCATTTTACTCTGCATCATTGGTGGAAACTGTACAATCTGAAATTGCATCTGAGAGTCCTGGAATATTGGACGTTTTTCGGGATGGCGCAATTCGCTTGGTTGACGTGAGCAACAAGGGTAGACTAATTCCTATATATGCTCTTCTACCACCAACTATTGCTTATAAAGTATCGAAATATCTTTTTACCCTCGCTGTACGGGGAGTTACTAGTCGTATTATGCACATCAGACACAAGCATTCGCAAGAGATAAGGGTAAGTTTTTTCTTAATAAAAAAAAAAAAGTTTATTATGGACAGATGTTTGACGGTATTTGTGCCTCACGTACAGGGTGCGTACAGCAGAGATTTGTTGTCCGAGGCAACGGTGCAAGACATTGAACTTCAGTCGGCATTGGTTTCCACATTTATTGCAGAAGCATTATTTTATCCTTGGCAAACAGTGATTTATAGACTTCATCTTCAGGGTACGCGTACTATTATCGATAACTTGGATACAGGACGTAGCGTAACACCGTTGTTAACTGGATATAGCGGCGCACGCGATTGTTATAGTACAATAATTTCTACCGAAGGTCCCCTCGGTTTATACAAAGGATTTGGTGCTTTCATTTTGGAATTTACTGTAGATATTGTAATAGTACGGGTAATTAAATGGATTGTAACAGAATTAGAAACGATATTGAGGCCAAAACCAAAATCAATTCGCGATCCACCGCAACATTGGTATTATAATGAGACATAAAAAGGGAAAAATGGATGAAATAAAATGATTATTAACGTTAAGTAATGTTTATTTAAGTATACTTTCTGTGTATATCATTTGTAGATCGTACAGTGATAAATGTGGCAATGATAGGTTGACAGTTTCAGTAACTTCTTGAACACATATTAATCTTTTCCTTCATCTTAACATGAATTCAAATTGGACTCTGAAAGTATTGTATATATAGATTAAGTTCCTAATATTTAAAAATACATTAATAAAAACAAAAAATTCTAAATTGTTTAAGCTTAAGCAACGAATACAGACACGAGTATTCATTGGTTTAAGCATACTGTAGTTCAAAATGCTAAAACAACAATGGTATATATAAAAAACAGTTTATTTGTTCTAAACATTTTTTTAGGATGACATGTACATATTATTTTATGTAGAATATTTACGTTGTAGAAATTAAAAACGCCGTAAAGATGCAAGTTAAGGAGTCGTTGAAAGTATTTTAGTTCGTCTGCCGTTACTTTCGATATATCACTAAATCAAATTACTTTCAGTAACAATCGGTTACAGTTTTACACTTGCACATCTTTCTAACTTGCATCGTATATTACACAGCCTTTCAATTATATCTATTGCGTATTTGTAAAATAAGATAAAATAAAATAAAATAAAATAATTGACCAGAAAGTATTTCATCTCTAATAAGTTTTTACCATTACTTTTGTAAAACGTATACATTTTTTAACTTCTATTTATTCGATTATTTTTCTTAATTTATTTAATACGTTACAAAAATTCTTGTTCTATTCATTAACATAACGTCATCCTTGGTTTTAAAAGCAAATGTATGTTTTATATAACTTGATATTTTCCTAAATTTTTGTTCAAATGTTATTTATTAGTTATTTAGAAATGTTATCGAATCGAAGTATTTTACAGAACATTTCCACTTCTGATAGATATATATATATACACACACATAATAACATGCGTTAGTACACAATGAGTTTTGTACTAGCTGTTTGAAACTTTTGCTAATAAGTTGCAATTATTTCGTGTAACGTAGGAACTTTATCCTTAGCATATGTTACACAATATAATTCGCAAGACTGATTTCGTTTTTCTTTTTTTTTTCTTTGTTGCTTGTTATAATACAATAACGAACAAATATTAGAATTATAAAAGACAGAAATGTTCGTGTTACCTTCGAGTAGGCGGTCAAAATATTTCTAGTCTAAACGACTGTATACTCTACCTGCAATTAAAATTTTGTTCACTTTTTTGGTAAGTGAAAACTCAGATAAGGACTTTATGTATATACACATTTTTGTTTATACATATTTTTACAGAATATATGCTATTTGTAGAACTGCAAAGTTCTCCCAATCTCTTTTGTATCGAGTCTTTTCACGGCGTGATTCACCACATTATAGTGTTATTTTCTTAAAACTGAAAAGAAATTCTAGAACGAAAGGGAAACTGTTTATAATTCACTTCGTATTGGAAAATATCGTAACAGTTTGCGCAAATAATTTGCTCTTTAAAAAAGAAAACCAAATGATGTGTCAAACTTGTGGAGTGCCCGTTTTATGAATTATTTGTTAATTTTGTATCTGTTGAGCTTGCAACTCCTCGTCGGTGACATCACCCCTTTTAACGTATTGTGGCTTGTCTTGTCCTCGTACACAGCCTTCCGTTACGTGAACGGACATTACGTCGCTACCCGGTACTTCAAACATAGGTTCTAAGAGTAATGATTCCATGATTGCACGAAGTCCTCTCGCGCCTGTTTTCTTTTCCATCGCTAATGACGCTATAGCATTTAAGGCGTCCGCAGTAAACGTTAATTCCACCTACAAATGAATAAAAAATTGTTGTATATAAATATTAGGTTCAAGTAACATTATTTTTCAAGTATGGTGAATATTTTCATACCTTGTCCATCGAGAATAACATTTGATACTGTGGCACCATAGCGTTCTGAGGCTCTGTTAATATTCTAACCAACATATCCCTATCTAGAGTGTGGAAAGGTACAAGAACGGGAAATCTGCCTACAAATTCGGGAATCATACCGAAATCAATTAAATCTCTTGCCTCCACTTGTTTTAATAAAAGATCTTTTTCTTGGTTATCCTTTTCTGTAGAAGGTGTCATATTTGCAACGTCGGCCAAATTCGCCGCTCTCCTACCTGGACTCTCCGAAGCAGGGGTCGCACCAAATCCAAGATACTTTTCAGTTTTACGTCGCGAGATCAGTCTATCTAACCCATTATATGCACCGGAAGCAACGAATAAAATATTTGTAGTATCAACTTGTAACGTGTCTCCACGCAATTTTCTAGAACTATTTCTTTCAGGTACATTTACAATGGTACCCTCCAACATTTTTAACATTCCTTGTTGAACACCTTCGCCGCCAACATCACGTAATTGATGTATACCAGGAACGGCACCGATTTTATCCACTTCGTCTAAGAATACAATACCCATTTGCGCCCTGTCCACTACGTAATTAGCATCTTGAAGTAATTTTGCTATAACGCTTTCTATGTCTTCACCAACGTATCCTGCTTGTGTCAACGTCGTGCAATCACAAATAGCGAAAGGCACGTCCAAACACTGAGCTATTGTTTGAGCGAGTAATGTTTTTCCACTACCAGTTGGCCCGAGCAATAGAATATTACTTTTCTCTAATTTTAATTGGTGCTGCTTGCTGTCTAAGATATCCGATCCCGAAGACGACTGATTATCAGTTGACTTTTGTTCACTTCCTGTAGGGAACTGTTGGAATCCAACACCAAGCGAATTTCCGACGGTCGAAATATGCAATAGGTCTACAACGGAAAAAGAATAAATATTGTCAATTGGAACGTGTGTTCGAGTGTGTGCGTGCACGTGTATTTGTGTGTGCGAATGTTTACGTAACTGTGTAATAGTTATAACTGTTATCTCCGTAAAGATTCGTTACACCTAAGTACAGTTAATCTATGTTAAGAAAGAAACGTTAATACGATTTCTATTATTATTTTCACTTTTTACGTAGAGTTAAGTACGAAAACGGGAAACTATTATTTACGTGGTTTAAGACCTCTATGAGTGAAGGGATGATTCAGATCTTGTGTACCAGTAGTATTAATAGAACCTTGCATTGAATTCTGCACTGGGAAATTATTATAGATTCGTTTGTAGTGATTATACACGGCAACGCTCAAAACTTTTTTAGCATACTCTTGCCCTACAACATGTTTGTTTAGGTACTCAAATATCTGAAAATACCGACACATATTAATACTTTTTGTAACAATTTATATCACAATTAGTCTTTATTCTTTATAGAAATATTTGCTTAGGCAAATTTTCTAATAATTTATTACCTTTTTCGGCGGTGGCGGTGGTTTTCTGTAGAATCCTTGTTTTGTATCATCTGTTCTTAAAGCTTCCTTAAGGCTTCTTTTCGAATCTACCTCTGATAAAACAACGAAAAAGTGATGGCATTTTTCACACTTGACGAATCTCGTTGATGCTAATAAAAAAAAAGGATACTCTTATATTCTAGATAACTTTATTATGTTTTATTATGCATGTACAAATTTATACACATCTCTACTTACATACAAATGTTTCTACATGCGTACAAGGATCACCACATTTTGGGCACGTCAGTGTGTTTTTTTTTCCTCCATTACTACCAACAGAGGACACTCCACCGCTGCTATCTTTACCCGGTGGAGTCGGTTCTGTGGGTGCTTTTCCTAGAGTACTGCTGATCGTTAATGATCTAATTACAGCCACTCTTACAATTTTGTGAACTATCAAAAAAATATAGAATTATTTATAATTAGATTAAAATAAGTAATTTTTTACATTGTATATGTATACATTTCAAACTTACCATGGTTTGCCACATGATTGGAAGATGCTATACGACCAGCACTGATTAAACAGCAACGAACACAACTCATTTTTGAATTTATACAAGCAAGGAAAATGGATTAAAATATTTTCTGGTAAGTATTACAACTTCTCTGGGCAAAACCTGAATTGAAATAAAAGTTTTCTTGAAGAAAAGTCAAGGACAGGTGAAATATGTTATAATTTTACATGTTATTCACTTGCACAAATTATAGAAATTATATAATTAAAAAAAATGTCGCAAATATAGTTAAAAGAAAGAACTTGTACTTATCGTATTATACGATTCGTGTCGATACTGATTACAAACAAAATATATGTCGAAAATTGTAAAAATTTATCTAAATTAATACAAAATTCAAAGGTGACACGGAAACAAAGTAAACCAGATGCTTATTTCGTGTAATGATAAAGAAATAAAAATGATTATAAAATATGAAAACACCGAGTATCAAAATACACATTGACTTTGAAAAGAAGTAAAATTGAAACGTATGCATTCGAAAGTAAAATACGAAGACGGACGCAATGTCAGTGTAAAAATAAACATTGAAGGAGCAGCTCGCGGTTAACGAAAATACTAAAATATCGAAAATACTAACCTTTGCGAATTAAAACTAACGTATATGCTGTTCCTCATTACTCATAATTTAGTCATTTTTTTCATGAAACATGTAATAAATCCAACGATCCGAAATATCTTATGCAAATTGGTTACCACGAATGAACTAGAGAAAGAAATGATAATTTAATAAATCGACTATTTGACACATTGCGTTACAAGGTACAACAATCGCTCGAAGCATGGTTCAAGGACATTGGTCGAGTTCCCTCCGAAATTTTCGAATAACATTTGCTGTTTTAAAATTATCTTGACAATAACCGATGGGTGAGTTGCGCGCAATTTACTTCGATATCACTAAAATATCTAAAGACGATGAGAAAACTGGAGACATGATAGATTTTCGTATACACGTACCTACATACGTGGCGAATGTGTATGTTGCAGTCAGTCACGGTCACGGTACGATGCTCCACTAATGGCCGATTTTCTTTTTAATAATTCAAATGTCACGATCGTCCCGATAATGTGGTCACTTTGTTCTCACTCGTGAATAATCTTTATCTGTTTATCGTGAAAACTTTTACTCGATGTTTACTAATATATTTTTATACATGTGTGCAATCAGATGCAGTGACGTTTGTATGAAATAACAAAACGTCAGTGCGTCTGCACACGTACGGTCACTCGAGGGCACTTAATATATGAATGTGCCTATAGTTATTAAAACATATATAGATGTATCTACGCACGTAGTATTAAATATTTGAACATGTGTCAATAATTACAGTTCTATTTACCTTGAAGTCGATTTTAATCAATTTTCCAAACAATTTCGACCAATCGTAAATTTAAGTCTCCTCCTCTTCTCACTCTCGCAGCCCCCACTTAACCCCTTACTTTCTCGCGCGCGCGTCCGTTTGCTTACTTGGCTTTATACGAATAAGTAAATCTTCGTCTATGTATTCGATTCCTAATCACCATCGCAGATTGTTAGGTTAGGTTGCACATACGACAGATGCGCTCTCTTTGACCGCAAATATATGTTGCGTAAAAACATATCGAAAACAGCATTGTCACATTATTAACAACATATAAACTCGATAAATTGCAATTAATCTGGTGGGTACTCCTTTTTCTTATTTAAAGGATTACTATAATATCTTTGATGATAAGATGAGACAAACGGAAATAAACAACGAAGTAAGCGTGTAATGTATTTTAAACACATGTATTTGACATTTCATAAAATTCACAGATGATTTATTTTGATTGTATTTTTTAGCTTGTTCTGTTAAGGCAACCTGTTCATCAGGCTCGTATCTGTGTGGTAAGTAAGTTGATCAGAGAAGCTAAAAAATTACGCACTTATCGTGGTAATGAGAAACAACTGGAGAAGAACAAGACTAAATCGGATAAACTATTGAGGGAAGTATTTGCGTTAAAGCATATTAAGGATGATGATATATCAACATTTGGAATAATTAATTTTGAACATTTGCAAGATATATTAAAAAATCCTCGTACAGACGAAGGAACTAGAGCTATGATCAAAGTTGCCCGATATAAGTGTTTACATGAGAGAATAGTAGAATTTATGGAGAAATTTCCAGATTACAGTGAATACATTTCTTGGAAGAAAAAAAAGCGTCCATCGAAAAGGAAAGGAAGTAATTCTATAGATGATGACCTAGAAGAGAATCCAAAACGATCAAGAAAAGATACAAACACTGTAAAAGTCAGCACGCAAAAGAGAGGCAATAAGAACATAGACAGTACCGGTACTACCAATCATTTGCAATGTACTACTCGTCAACAGAAGAAGATCAATGAACAGTCTATGAAACTATCAAAAGAATCAGTAGAACAAAAGTTGGAAGGGGAAGAGTCGAAATCAGTTGCTAAAGTTATAAGTAAGGAAGCTGCTGTTAAAAGATTTGCAGAAGTGTTGCAAGAAACAGATAGAAAGGAGGAAGCTAGCGAGCACGAAGAGAATAACAATGAACAATCGTCGAACGATGCAGGAGAATGTAGAAAAAGTACGGATGACTTTTTCCTGAGCTCGGACGAAGCCGGTTCAAGCGTTACAGTCATCCCTGCGGAGAGGAACGAGGATCGTACCTCTGACATTGATCATCGGGCATTTAAGGCGCTTCGCATAAGAAGCAAAGACGAGAAATTCTCTAAAGATAAAGGGGAAATAGGAAGTGGTAAAGATATTTCTTATGGTCCGAGTAATACAAGAAAAACAAACGTTACGCATTCTAAACAAAACAGGGATGTGCGCGTTAAGAATAATCCTGTTAAGAGAAACGTTGAGAGCGACTCCACTAAGACAGAAGATGAAAACCTGCATCCTTCGTGGGTAGCGAGGAGGAAGCAGCAAGAAATTCTGAAACAAGGTTTCCAAGGGAAAAAAATTAAGTTTGACGAAGATTAAGCAAATTAATTTCAGTATATTTATTACTGTATCAGCATCTTTTTATTGTATACCTAGAATAGAAAATGGTCCTGTTTTAATTCCATTGGGCGGAAGGTTCCTTTCTTCCCTTTTAATCCTGTACCTCTTTGTATTCGATGATAGGAATTACAGAAAACATTACAGTGTGATTATTCTTTTTCATTGAAATATTTAATTATAATTTGAAATCGTACAAAACGGGTAGGATCATTTACAATGTTAGTTATGCAGACATTAAAGGTGCATTTGATGAAATTTTATCCGCGTCCAGCGCTCAAATAGGATTCGTACGATCTTTAAAAGATACGCATTTAATCGTGGTATAATTCACGTTTAAGATGATCGATGCAATGTTATTCTGTTCTAGTCGAAGAAACGTTAGCTCACAGAACTTAACGATCAGACTGTAATTAATCGAGAAGTGAATCATGTTAATCATAGGGAATTAGTCTTTTAAGTTTAAGGCGAGTTCTTTTCAGACTTTCAATATGTTGTATATCGAAGTAGATGTTAAGTTATGCAAATGCATAGGAAACGAAATCGTTTTTTTTACATGTACTTGTCTAATTCTGAAAATAAATTATAATAGGAATAAACGTTGGATTAGTATTTTCTTTCCTGATTCCCTTACTTTTGTAAGGTACTTTTAAATCGGTTGAGATAATGGGTAAACTTTGGGACAACGCGCTATATTAATTATATTAATATTTTATTTTTAAAGAGGATCAACGTAAACGGGGTAGTAGATAGGGTGAAGTAAATAAAGAGCCTATCTCTTTTTTCAAATGTCTCTTTTTCCTTTTTCTGTAAGAGAAAGGGCAGAGGCGCAAAAAGGCTAGTTCGAAGATCGTGAAATTTTATTAGAACATACGAGAATAGAAGACGTTACGAAATTGTGCAGCTTCTCGATAGACCAAGAAACAACTTTATCGTGCAATCTAGACATTCCTTTTCTTTCTTTGAATCGCATCCTGATTGCTTGAAAAAAAAAACGAACCAACGAAATGGTTTAAATAGGAATTATTTGTTCTTGGAGAGGGTGCGTTGCTTTTCCGCGTGCGTGACAAGCTGAGAATCCACGGGCAATCCTTTCCGTCGACGGACCGCATCAATATACTTTTTAGCTCTATTCTCGCTGTCAGCTTTGTCACCGAAATGAAGATATTCCTCGTCAGTGGACGGTGTCCAGTAGGGATCTTGTTTGATTACCTGGAACAGAAACAAACTTCTACGTAAGTTCAACGAATAATTTGAAATCGGTTTCAATGAAAAGCAATCGGTGGACGGTGGAGACAACCATTCTTCGATCGATCGAAGATCGCGAAAAGTGGAAAAACGGCGGGATATCGTGCGTTCCCTTCGAATGGAAAAACTTGCCTCCCAATGACTGAAAACCAGTTGGGGACTAGCCAGCCCGGACGTTTGCGTTCGCAGTTCTCTGGCAAGTTGAAAGCTCTCTGGCACAGGCAACGTTGCTAGCACACGAAATTGCCCTCCGAATCCGAGCGCGCTATCCGCTGCGATCACACGGCCGTGTCTCTTACCGAACGCTGCGTACAGTTTTCCTGAAACAAAATTGAAATTACGTTAGAATGAACTGCGTTTTCGTCGAGGAGATCGGGCGCGTGCGGGAGGCAAATAAGGGTTGTCGCGCGGAGTAGAATCAAAAGCGGTCCTTTTAGAATATACAGGACGTAAAGTTGAAAAATCGAGTTTGCTTCCATTGACAGTTGCTGGATGTTGTTCGCTAGCGTAGCGAACTCGATTTGCGCGGCGCAGAATTCAGTCCGTGTAAGAGAACATAGAGTTTCCGGTCGTAGGTTGCGGCACCTGCGCTCACCTGTCCTCCTCCGTCCTTCTCTCATCGCTGGTGCATGCAAGAATCTGGCGTATCTCCCCCCCTCTCTCGTTTTTTTTTTTTTTTTTTTTTTTTTTTTACCTTCTCGCGGTAACGTTAACGATCTCAGCGTTCGCGCTCCTGCATACGCACACAATCGCGTTTCCCTCTTCTCCCTCTGCTGTAACCTCAACCCTCGAGCTTTGGCTAAAGCTACTATACAACTTTCGTTTCAACACCGTATAATCCCCCCTTCGTGACCCATCTCGATGTCCCTCCCTCCCTCCCTCGATACACTACCTTGCTTTAAAATTCCCCTCACCCTTGCACCCCTTCGCCGACCCACGACGACTTACAAGCTGTAACCGAACGTCGCTTCCCACTTTGTGGCGAGAGTTCATTCATGCTAGCCAGTGGTTCTTCGATTGATAAACTCTCGCGATTAGAAGAGCAACTGGTGGATCGAGTCGTTCGTCTCTTACTCCGGAGAACGTAGATCGAAATCGGTAAAGCCTTACCGATCTACACGAGTACTAGTTTCGAAATTAGTATAAACGATTTGGTTAAACTGGAGGATAAGTCTACGATACGCTCGATTTCACTTTGATCTGATTCGATCCGATCCGATCCCATCCGATCCCGTTCTATTCGTTTTTACAAACAGAGGAGGAGAGGAAGAGTAACCACGCGTATAGATGTACGAACGGCGAGAGGCAGAGAAGGAGAGAAAGACAGAGAAGCGGTGGGAGTGAATGGATTACGGCCTTAGTCAATGAAACAGCGGTTCTCAAACGGAATTTTCTACATTCCCTGATACGTTCGTTGATTCATTGATCGCTATGGATGCGCTGAAACCTGCATCTCATCGTCATCTATCGCGTTTAATTAGACTTCCAGATAAACGTTGATTCACGAGTTTCGCCAATTTCTTTGCGAGATTAATTCGATAAGAAATAGAAAAGCGAAAAGGAAAGCTGCTTCGCGTGGTAGCGAACCCGATAAGAGGTCAAAGTAGACAGAAATAATTTGAGCATCGAACACCCACGCGAATTCGAAAGGTTGAAAAGGTTGCGAACGATGTCTTTGGAATACGAACACGGTCGAGTCGATCCCAAGAATCGTGCAAACTGCGCTAAACGCCCACGCGCTTTACGTGTACGAAGTACGAGCACCAAAGTACGTAGGATGTACGTAGAATGTAGATTATGCGTTTCGTGTCGCTTGTCTCGCGGAATATTTCCACACGCGAGCAACTATTTTCATTTTATTTTCTCACCGCGTTTTCACAACGTTCGAAGGAATCGAATGGGTTAACGCAACACGTGCATTGTCGGGACGCAACTTAAATAGAGATTTGCAAAAATCGCAATCTTTCGCTTTGGATTATCATCGGAATATGTTTGCTCGAATGGAGCTAATTTTTATCGTGAAAGTCTCGTAATCGATGTTCTTACAAAGGTGAACGCCTGTATGAGTGTACACGAAGAGAGAGAAACAGCGCATACCAGTAACTACATAATTGAATTGCAAGCTTGCCGATCGACTTCGGCATTCCAATTAAATGCAAGTTGAAGGCAAGTTGCATACGAAACGGTCATTGTTTTTCCTCTCTTATTCCACGGACAAATGGTAATCGATGTTAACGAAGGTAAAAAAAAAGATCCACGTTACAGGGAAAGAAGAGACGATACGAGGATCTCGCTGGCAAGGGAACGATAATACAAGTATCGAATAGCAGAAGGCAAGGCTCAAACGAGAGAGGAGGAACAGGTGTGCCGCGAGAATAGAAACAACAAAATTGTTCAAAGAAATAACAGGGCTCGTTAGAGCGAGATCAGAGTGGTGGTAGACGAAAGAGGAGAATAGAGAACGGAAGAAACGAAAAATAATCAAACGAAAAGAAAAACGAAATGGGACAAAAGGGTGAAAAAGGAAGAAGGAATACAGGTAACCAAGGGAGGAAAGAGATAGAAGGTAGGAAACACAGAAGGACAAGGTGGAGCAAGAAGAATCCGCGTAACGAGTACGTCTCAGGTACAGCGGTTGCATCTTGAAGAGAAAGGTATAAAGTATAAAGTATAAGGAAAGAACGAAGGCAATGGAGTGGAATGGTGAAACAGGAATGTACTAGGAATGGAATATAAAGAGAACAAAATGGAATGGATTGGAATGGAGTAGAGTGAAGTGGAGTGGAGTGGAGTGGAGTGGATTGGAGTGGAGTGGAGTGAAGTGGAGAGGAGTGAAGTGTAGTAGAGTAGAGTGGAACGGAGAAAGAAGAGCAGAGAAGGGAGTACTCATTCATGCTTTGCCTCCAACTGTTAGAAGTTCAGTCGAACGAATGGTTGAGGTTCGCGCACAGCACGAATGCTGCGAGCCGTTTAAATCTCGGACCGGCTCGAATCATGTCGCAAAACAGAGAACGTAACACGTATATAACCCGTTCGTCGTAGATGATAGAAGGTAGAGAACGCAAGGACATTGGAAACAGTGTGGGATACATATATCATGTGTAGCGATCAACGAGAAGGAAACATTGAACGATTTTGTTAGCTCTCGGTGGAACGTGTATATCTTTTTCACAAGATAAATAGACTGTGAATCTTTCAAAGTGAATTAACCTTTGATCGATAGATCTTCATTGATCTTCGAACTTGACCGAATAAATTATTGGCAGATTTGATCTATGTGAAAATAGAAACGCAAACTATACGACTACTATCTTTCGTATTCGCTCTTCAATCTCGTTACGATGAGATTACGATCGATCGTTACACACGTGATAACCGATCGATGGGTGTTGTAAAATATTCTTAACGATTCGCAATAATTTAACAGAGGAATGCGTGCTGGCGCTATTATTTCTGATGAACGTTTTCCATTTTATTCAACGACTGTCGTTCTTAATCTTTCCTGTAGTTTGAATGTTTGTGATCGGTGATCGCGACGATCACCGATCGTGAAAACGGGAGAACGCTTTTTCATCGTACGTAACGTTTGAAAAGAAAAGAAAAAAAAAAAAAGAAAAGGGTGCGCGGGAAAGGATGGCCGAGTTGACGTGCTTGTTATTAGCGATGTTCGGGCAGCTGCTCGTTCGTGGAAGCAAGGGTAGTTTTCTCGGTATAGAACTGGACAAGACTGGACAGAAGTTTCTCAACGAATATCTGTCTCTCGAGGAAGGCAAGTACCTCGGCGAGTTGCAGCCGTTTCAAGACACAGCGATCGAGCTCGATCTGATCGATCAGAAGAGGAAGCATCGACCGATGCATCAACCACCGAGGGTTCTCTATCAAATTGGGGTAAGTTCGATATCGAACGATATTTTCGTAAGATCGTTAACAAGTTTCCGCAAGGTCGTTTCGCGCATCCACCCTTCGGATCGCGGTCGAAGGACGCGGGTATCTCGGGATACCGGAACATTCTCCGTCGTCATCTGTCGATGTATGTATTCACGCATACGTTCCCCTCGAATACCAGGTGTCATTTTCACTGTGGCCACGAGAGAAGCAAGAGACGCGTGAGAACTTCCGGATGGATCGCGCAGCCTTTCCGGTCCCCCTATTATCCCATTTTAGTTTGCTGCCACCGAAGGTTTTGATACGCTCGATCTTCTGGGAATGCCGGGAGGAAGAGGGAACGAGGGGACAAAAGAAAGAGAAGGAAACATGGGAGAACGGAACCGAACGGAAGGGAACCAACAACCAGTTACAAAGAGTGGGAAAACTGGTCGATCATTTTCAAAGAGACTCCACCACTTATTATATACGAACCAGGGATACACTTACTCGATAACGATGATTTTGCAAAAAGTTCAAATACCTTCTTTCAAAGATTGAAAGAGGGGAGGCAATGTATCGTAGTGGCAAAAGTGGAGGGAATTTAAGAAATTAAATTCGAGTTGTTCGAGAAGAGCATCGTAGATTGCGAACGACCAGTCGACAGGACGTACGTGATTGCCTCATTCAGTGGATTGACCGACGCCGTTTGAATAGTGCAGTTAGACCAGATGTCTATTCTTCGACGGAGAGGGAAGGCACGTACCTCTCGAGCATGTTACAAAGCTTCGTTCCCTCTCCTTCCTCCTTCATCTCTAGTTACTTCTCTCGATCTCGAGATCTTTTACCGATCTTTTCGTAGGCTTTCTTGAAAAAGTAGAACCAGGGGTAGAGAACACTATCCGGTCAGCCGTGATCCGTTGATCGCGTCTTTGCTTTTATTCTATCCTTCAAAGAACTAACGGATCTGGGTTAGGTTGTTCTTCGTCCTGCGGTTACTAGGCTTTTACAAATCAATTTTCTTTATTAATTTCTTTCACGAGCATTTCCAAACACATTCGCGATAAAAGTTCAAAGTGGAAAGTAAGGATGAAACGATGTTCTCACGATCGTTGTAACTGTAATTCGAATTGAAGTCTTGGAGATTTTTCTTGGAGATTTTTGACGACTGTTAATGTTTGTTTCTTAGGATAGCGAGGAGGAGCTGCCCGAGTGCTCGGATCGAAGCGAGGTTTGCAGCAAGGTGGATTTATATGGGTCACCATGGGTCGAGAGACAATGTCGTTGCCCGGCTGGCCGAAGCTGTCCTAGTAGTCTACACGGAGACGATGGGCACACTATAGTCGACAAGACGCGACAGTACAAGCTTTGCGAGCCGGTGAAACGTCTTCCTATCTGTCGCTACTTCAAGTTAGTCGATTGTTCGTTCGTTCGCTCGTTCGTTCGTTCGTTCGTTCGTACGTGCATACCTAACGAATCGTACTAGATGCGTACGTACGTTCGTTCGTACGTTCGGTCAAGTAACATATACGGCAGAGCAATCGAACTTACCGATTCAAAAATGCCTTAAACGAATGCGTACCAAACGCATAATACGCAGCCGTATATCGCGAACAAGATGGCCGTTTACTGCTTACAGGGACGTGACATGGACCTTAGCTCCTGGAGGGGGCCCGGCTAACGCAACGGTTCAACGAGTTTATTGCCGATGTCGACCGGGCAGCGTACCTTATCTAGTTCGAAGACAAGCCTATAGATCTTCCGAGGGAAATCCAGGATTTCTCTACGCATTCGCTTGCTCTCCGCAAAGCGTAAGTTTTATTTTTCTATTCTTCTTCGATTTTCTTCAACTGGTATCGCGGAAAAAAAAAAGAAAAAAGGAAACGTTCGATTTCAGAGGCTACGCTGCCAGCACAAGGAACCCTGCCGTCTGTTTACCGTACGAAAGAGAAGAACCTCGCAACTCGAAGAGGTGAACGCTTCTCCTCTATGTCAATGCCCAAAGGGTCACCGATGTCCTAGGCGACACACCGATCCAGGATCCCTTCCGGCAAGATCGTATTCCGGCGTTTTGGAGATTAAGACTTACAGCGGATACTGCGTACCTTCGCAGCCCCACCATTCCGAAGCGGTTTACACCGTCTGATATCGAAACGACGCCTCCTATATTGCATCTGTACATACGTAGAGCTGCTGGCACACCCGTTCGTTTCATTTTCAAATAAAACGAGCCGAGTTAAGCTAGTCGCCCGATATTCGCGACATTATCGTCGAATGGAACTTACGATCGCGAAACCGACGATTCCTACCGCGTCCACTGCCAATTAATTGATAAACGCTCTTCTTTTTCATCCTTCTCCTATTTTATTATAACGAAACGTAGATATTAAGCGCTCTTTTAGTATTTTATTCGAGCTAACCTAAATGTTTTATCCGATCAAGTATTGCGGAAATTGGAATGTTGCCGACGGACCTCGCTAGGAAATATACTTGTTATTTATAATGTCGCGTAACGCTTGTATATTTAAACGCGTTACTTATAAAGCCTCTATCTATTACCGTCACTGTCAACCAAGTTGCCCGTGACTCTTATTCGGCATTATATTATATATTATACTATTGTACGCGCGTAACATCGTGTTTGTAAATATTCGATTCTCTAAGATAATGAATTAAACAAATTTATATATGTGCATGGCATTACCGTTATTATTATTACCCTCGTCATCACGATCATCATCATCATCATCATCATTAATATCGGTTTTATTAAATCGTAATCCTTATGATTACTGTCGTTGATTTATATTCTACTCCTGTCTTGTTACTACTCTTAATTACAACGTAATTATACTGTAATTACATCAACGGTCGACTGTTAATTACTATTTGTTTTATTATTTCTTCTTATTTAACGTAATAATGCAATTAAATCGATGTAAATTCTCAAGTAATTCAAGCTATTCAAATTTTTACGCGTTCAATTCGATTTCTTCATTTTCCAATAGATGTCGTTTTTCTTTAGTCATTACCTTATCTTTTGTAGGTGTCGCTACAGGTATATTTCCCGTTCTCCCCAATAGAGGGCTACGATAGGTGTTTTGCAAGTAACATTTTTAAAGGGGCCGCGTAATATTCAAAAATTTTTTTAACAGCAGAAAACAATTGTACTTTACACAGAATAGACATGTCGTGGATATAGAAGAAGGATCAAATGAATATCGATGTCGCCGTACGGTATGCAAAAATATACGGTATCCTATGTTGAACGCGAGTAAATTACTTAATTTCATAGATACGGTGCGCAACGATAAGCGACTCGGCTATATTCAAAGGGCGTATAATCGGCGGATGTCCCGTTCTTATACATACAGGTACTTACACACGTTACACGCGTACACAAGTATATTTCAATTGGATAGAAGAAGGATTCGTTGGCGTGGCGGATGAAAAATCTATCGTGCCGCTAGGAAGATTTGTTGATCGGGGGGTTTCTGGTTCGAACGGCGATTAACTTAGCAGCCGACTAGTTTGCCGACGAGAAACAGAGTGATTTCATGCTCGATATATTTTTCTGGTATTCGATCGAACGCGCGAAAAATAGCGGTACCGCTATCGATGCTCCGATTCGTTTCTCTTTTCGTTTTTCCCAGGAAGGGTACTCGCTGTTCGACGCGACCGACTCTGCCCCAAGAATATTCCATCAACGTTGCCACACGACATTAACAAATTGAAAATTGCAATCTGTTTTCTTCCGTCTAACGGAATGTTTTTAAAAACGAGCGTAAATACTATATCCTACGATGCAACGAGGTTAAACTTTCATAAAAAGAAGAAAATGCTAGAGGAAACGAGGTAAAAGCGAAGAAAATGATAGAAAATGAAGAAACTGAAAATGAAATAGAAAAATGTTTTCGCAATATATCGAAGCGCGAGGCTGCAACACGATGCAACGATCTTTCGTCCCAAGAATCTGGCCTCTCGGTTCTCGACTCTCGAGCCTCGATTCTCGATTGTTGCCTCTCGATTGTCGGTCCTCGGTCCCTCGTGGTTCGAGGATCTCGATTCTCGATCCCCGATCTCCGTGGTTCCGACGTCCCTCTCCGAGGAGGACGGGTCGCGACGCGAACGTAGGTGTGCTCGTGTACGTATACAAACGGTAGGTCCGGTGGAGGTAGATCGTAGTAGCGTGTAGGTAGGCGCAGAGCGCGAAAGAAGGTAGAGGATTGGCGGAGATGCAGCTTAGAATTCCACGCATAGTCAAGGGGTTTCTGGTTGGTTGGTAAGTGGGACTAGCCGGGACTCATAGGCAGCATGTCTTCTACGAGAGCTCGCAGTCCCATTCGAAACTCTGGAACGCGTTTAAGCGCGGATTTACTTTTCATCGGTTCGCCTTCGATTCGCGGATTTATTTCGATACTCGATGGAACGCTCGACAATGCGGAACAACGAAAACAGCCACACGGCCTGAATATTATCGCTTAACCCGTTCGAGTTATCCTCGGTAATCAAGCGTTTTTGCCATTGAACCTTTCGCGATTCTCTTTCGATTTCTCGTGGTTCGAGCAAATACCGACCGGTGTATGACCGCGACGGAGATACGCTGCAATATAATATTGCCAGCCATCGTCGCTAAAGGAGCACCGGTCATAAGCAGAAGGCTGCTAGATCGAGATCGAAATCGAGGTCGAGGTCGAGGTCGAGGGTAAGGTGAAGAACTCGAGACCCAGATCAAGATCACCATCGGAGTCGTTGTTGGAAATCAAAGGTGAGTTGTTCGGTGGATCGTTATTATCGCTACTTTTTAGAGACTCGTGTCTCGCGCGAAATTTCTCAACGAAAATGAAAAGAGTATATAATCATTATCCTTACCTCGACTATTTTGTCACGCGAACGTTGAATTAAATCATTTTTCGTGAGCTTTTGCAATGCGTCACTACGAAAAATAAAAATATGTCCAGTGAAAACGAGATCTTAATTTCTAATCGTTCTTACAACGAAGGAGACACGCGATCACTGCGCTAATTAAGAATTTCTGATACGAACCGATACGAACATGTCGCGTTGCGGTGATCGAATCGAGGTGTAGCGAGGAGTAGAAGTAAGGTAATTAGCGCGTCGCAGAAAAAAAGAAAACGAAAGGACGTTAAAACACGAAGGAAGTACGAGCTGATATATCGGTTCGAGTGTCACGGATAGATACGTATATGTATGCACCGGTCGTTCGAGCGGATCCTAGTGGTATAACTGCATGCAGCACGGCCTTGAAAATGCAAAGATAACGGCTCGCGAGAAACGTACCAGGTTAACCTAATTTCATCGTATCCGCATGCTGAATTATATCGCGCTATAATTACTACGGCATAACACCCCGTACACGAACACGTCCACTGCCACGGCCACGATTCACGACCACGCGAGAATATAAGGAAGCCAGCGAATCGTTGGATCATCGACTGTGACTAGGAAGCGCATAGCGATCGCTCCTCAACTTCCTACGCGTTTTATTTATTTTTTTTTTTTTTAAGCAAAGATTAATTATAAGGGGTGAAAGCGTAATGTTTTTGAAATTCACCTACGACAACTTAATTCATCTTGTCAACTGACACTGATGCAACGCGGACATCCCGTCCGTGGAAACAAGGTCCTCGCCGATAGGAAAAACAAAAAATAGGATTAAAAGACGAAGGAAAATAGGTAAAAAGCATGGAGAATCACAGGAGAAGGAAATGATCGAGGATACTTAGAGGGGAGACAGAGAGTTGGCGGGGAAGAAACACGTGGCCCGATGTGCCACATCGTGCTCACTGTCCGCTGCTCAGTGCTCTGTTTGCGCCTTTGAATTTCGCGATCGAATTGAACGGCAAGGAAATCGCGTTCGATCTGCCGGTGGAAGAAATGAGAAAAAGAAAAAAAAAGAAAAAAGAAAAATAACGTTACCGTTAAGGGAGCTTGAACTCTCCCTCTGTGTTTCTCTCCTTCTCCTTATCACTTTCCTCCCTATCTCCCTCTCTTTTCACTCTTCTCTACAGCCTGCTGCTCTCTTCGCTCAAACAGCTCGACTAACTCTTGCTCTATTACTATACATACCGTGAAAGCTACAAAGAGACGCGTGAGAAACGAGAGTATCTACGACTCTCGAGATTCCGTGTCGATCTCGTATTCTCTGTTCTGGATCTGCTTCTGTTTCGTACCTTCTTGTGTTCGCGAAACACGAGCGCGAACGTGAAAGCAAAATGAGAAAGACGATACCGGACGATTAATCCCCCCCCACCGGGATTTATCAAAATCATTTCTACCTGCAACTCGTTTTATACGCACTCGTTTGTTCGTTTTAGCGCATAGCTCGGGAAGAAAATGCAGCCGATTCAAGGAGGCAAATGGTTCGTTCTGATGATCGTTGGAAGCATGGCTTTACCGCCTCAATCGCAAACCGGCAAAGGGAAGGAAACGATGCCTGTAACCGGAAACGACGCCCACTTCGATCCTTCTTCGACGATTTCATCGAACACCAGCAACGCTATCGTCGCCTCCAACAGCGCTAACAACAGCGTCGACATCGATATTAATGATGACAGCGGTAGCACCGTATCGAAGCCGGTTTCTCTCGACGTTTCCGCTCCGATCGGCAACGACGAAACGACGCTGGCATCGTCATCGGTGACGCCGATTTTAGAGAATCGCTCGTCTCCAGACGAAATCGTCGAGAATTCACCGACGACTCGGTCGTCGATCGCGGGAGCGGAATCGACGTCGACTACCACCACCACGACGGCGACTACGAAGAGTAATGTCGTAACTAACGCGAAAACAACCATGATAAATGGTAATAATTCGAATACGGGTTCGAGCGTGGCTCCTACCGAAACCTCCTCGAGAACGATCGTCTCTACTCAAGACGCGAGCACTTTTCTCTCATCTTCGAAGAAATCGACCAGCAGCTTTAACGAATCTACCACCACTCCCGCTTCGATTTCCGCGAAGGAAACGCGAGAATCGCCTGGGAAAATTCGACCGCAAATCAAATTAACGACAAACTACACCAGTCTCACAGAGGTGAGTAAGTTGTTTCCTTTTCCTTACACAAGCTACTTGCTTCGATTCTATCGGAAAAGTAAAATGACCGTACCGAAGGTTTGATATCCGGAAGAAAGAGGATACCGGAAAGTTGCGCCGTCGAAAGTAGGGTCGTTAGGGTTAAATGCCATATGCCGTTTCAAGCACGTTTACGGAAATCGTTACCAGAATCGTTATGGAGACCGTTAGAGGTCGGTGTTTGTAATTTGAAAAGATATTCGGCAGAACGTTCTCCATTTTAACAATCAATGATGATGGACTTGGTGATGCTATGACATTAGGGAAAATTGCAGTTACGTGCAATTTCACTAGATCGTCCGCGATTCAAAGGTTGTTGAAACGAGGAACGTCACTCGATCTTTTCTACCGGACGAATCAAGCTCGTTTCAATTCAGCCGTTAATCTCATTTTCTTCGAGTTCTTTTAAACAGGGTATCTTATACACACGGGACGTTTCACGCGCAAAGTATAACTGTTCAAGCCGTAACTACGTTTAACTATACCATGAGTACCGTAAGTATGCTGCTATTAAGCAGTTGAGTTTCACGGGTCAAAAGATACGTCGCGAGTGAATCGTCGCGTGCTCGACGACACTCTTCTCCTAGTTCTTTTCGTTTCGATCGGTTCGATCACGGATACGTATATTCTTTGTACGTACTGGATCGCGATGCACGGTTCTCTTGAATAAAATTCAAGGTATGCGCTCACTTTTCACGGTTGCTTGATTTCGAAACAAATTTTACCGCTAAATTGTCTCGATAACGTTATCTCAAGTGAAACTTTTATTATTTTCCCTATGCCTTCCTTCGTCTTCTCGTTCTCGCGTCATCCGCTGCACCACTGACATCCGGTAATTATTCTAACAGAAAACGCACCGCGTGTTTCACTTGGGAAATTACAGCCTTCGGAACTTGTACACCTCACCTTAAGTTGCAATTAGTAAAATCGATCCCTATAACCTGGAAGGATCAGCGGTAAAACATTTGTACACGACCGCGAGATATGCATATATATTTCATCCAGGCAATTAATAATTAAATACTCATGACCAGTTTCGCGGCATCGATAAAAATCCGGCTTCGGATATCGTATCGCGACCTCCCTTATTTCGCGCGAGATATGTGACACGTTCCGCGCGTGTCTGAAAAAGAAAAGAGAAAGAAAAAATGAAAGTCAATTCACGAAACCTCGCTTTTACACGTTACAAGGATCGACTAAAGATATCTTCCTTCAAAAATCATCCGTTTAACAGTTCATAACGTACTTGCGCGAAAAAGTGTACGCGTTTCTTGACAAAAGAGGCAAAGAAATAAGAAAGTCGCCTATGAGAGAAATCGTCTTTTGTCACTGTGCAGACATTCGCGTTCGTTAACACTGAATTATTCGAATTCCAGCATGCGTTCTAAATATTACGGATAATTTCCTGCGTACCCCGATTATTTTCACAAGATTTTGAATAAAAATCGCGAAAAATGTAGATCGTTTGCGCGAGCCGTGGGAAACGATACGATACGATACGATACGAGATAAATTTATGTTAATAAGATCGTACTATCTTAATCGATGATAAGCGATCGCCGTAATGAATATCGCGTTGAAAACACGGTGTATGGATAATAATGGCCGCGAGGAGGAGGAGGAAACGGATGGATTCCAGGGAATGTTGGAATTTTTCGACGAATTAAACAGCAGCGGTTTTTTTCAAGAGATTGTCACGAATCGCGTTGCTCGCTTTAGCATTTCAAAATGAGGGCAAGCGTTCATGACCGTGACGCGAGTGCGGATCGACCGATGTTAATATCGGTAGTGGAACGTGACGATACCAAAACAAGCAGAACAGAATAAAAATAAAAGAGCGATGAACGAGGATGGAGCAAAAGAGATAACGAACAATTTATCACACGTTAGATTTTGTTGCTACTGTTACGGTAGCTGCTGGACATCGTAGAAATTTTTGAAAAGAACCTTTGTCGTTTTCCAACGAAAGGGGTGAAAAAGTGTAAGATCGTCGTTGAAAACGGTTCTTTGTCCGTAAGGTAGAAAAGATTCTTAGAATCCAAGGTCTATCGGCATCGGTATTACAGCCGTAATAATACGGTGTTATTCGTAATAGAGAACGGTCAAGCTTGTGGTTCAGGAGAACCCGGCAAGGCTCACGATCGCGGATTCACGACTCGGCAGATTCTGATTCGTTCATCGTCTCTTAGCGATTCCCGCTCTTTCATTTTTCATCGTTTTTGTTCGTCGCTTTTTCTTAAACCGTTCCATCGGATTATTCTCTTTGTTTCACGGTTCGCGAGGTTGTTTTCTTCTTTTCAATTACTGTTTTATTACGAAGACACGATTCGTTGCAGACGAAGCGAAAGCACTCTACGGAGAGGTAATCGGAAAGAAAGAAATGGAAGGAGGAAAAGGGACAGAGAAAACGGATGACGAGGATGTAACGACGATGCGAATGGTTGGAATAACGTCCTGTAAATTCTACTTTCCATAATCGAACAGAGATAAAAGATGGAAGCGAAGATTGGGGGGAGTAATCGAGCGGTGATAATTTCATTTGTCGAAACAATTTGCAGACTGGTGTACGATTACCGGAAGGTGCGAGCGCGGCTCTCGCTAAACCAACCAAGTATCATTACTATCCGCACAATCAACACATCTACCTGCTACCGGAGTGCGCGGTGCAGCAGGTTTGCAATGCAGTTTACGTTAGATTGAACTTTACTCAGCCACTGTGCGCCTGTCCAGGAAGATACCGCGACCCTTGCAGCGCTTCTCTCGACAGCGACGACCTCCACACTACGGAGCTGGTCACCGACCCTCGAACCAAGGTTAGTCGCCTTTCCTTTCCTTTCCTTTCCTTTCCTTTACTCGCCTTACCTTTGTTTTACTTTGCTTTCTCTACTTTACTTTTCTCTTCCATCCTATTCCCATAAGATCGAACGAAACGGAACTCTATTTAAACCCATCACCGTAAACTCTCGCGTTTACCGGGAAAAGTTATTTACGCGAAAAATTCACGATTTCACGCGAGCAAATTTTCCTTTCTTCGAACGGTAGATAGAGGTGTGCATAAATTACGCGGGCACGTACTTCTCGGTATATCCACGCTCGTGGCTCGATTTCGCGCGCAAATTTCCGTGACAGATGTTCTCTCTTTGCCCGGAGGCAAACGAATGATATCATTTGGTACCGATGATTTTCCAGCTACGATTAAACTGCGGCAAAAGTTTTCAAATCGGTTAGAAAGCTAACCGTGCAACATTAGGTAGAGTAGGTACATGTACACGGGTTATGTAGGATTGTAGAACGAAAGAATCGCGTAGGCGCTTCGAGGCGAAAGCTAATTCTCTCTCCGCCGCGGAAACGGTTCCCGCCAATCTTTCTCTTTGCTGCTTTCTTTCTCGCTTAACCCACCGAATCGTCGAACAATATTTACCCTCGTACTTGTTAATCGTGTCGAGTGCTTGCGGCGATGAAAAATAAAATAGTGAACCGATCCTGTTGCCGAGGGCAAACACGATTTTACTGTCACATCGACGAGAAAGTCGAGATACGCGGAACAGAAGAAGCGATAAAGAGTAACGGCGGAAAGCTCGCTAGGCTAGAACGCGGTGAGAACGCAAGAAATGCTCACTCACTTTCATCTTGTTTAACGAGTTTTCGAAACGTCTCTGCACGCAAACAGGGTACATCGAATTTGTTTATTAGTAGATTGCAATTAAAAGAACTTGAATTCCTCGAAAAGAGAAATAGATTAATCGAATCTTGTTGGGTTTAGGCTCTCACTTTGGTGAAAACTTGCGAGCCAGTGGCCGAAATGCGCGAGTGTAGAGCACCGAGGGATTGGTCCCTTCTCGCGTTGCAGAACGTGCGAACTGGCAAGTCTCATTACCTGGTGATATGCCGATGTCCCGACGCTAACATACTCGGTAAGTATTCTCGACGATAAATTGGTCAAGTTCCTCTAGATTGTTATAATCATTGAAAATTCACTCCGCTAGAAGGTCCTATGAGTCACGATCAACCGACGTACGCCAGCGTGCCAGGTATTCGCGTTTACGGGATGATGTGCGTTCAAAGGACCCGAAGAGGACGACCGCTGCGAAACGTCCGCAGTCTCATAGGTACGAACGTTAGTTCGCGGATAAAACGACGAATATGTACGATTATTTCTGTCCACAGATAGCCCGATAGGCGAAATCAACGACAACTCGATGCCCAAAGAGAACGCGGAGACGAACGATCGGTTAAGCTTTCCGTGGTACAAGGTGCAACAATTAATGAACACGGCCGTCTGGGATTAGAAGGATCGTTAACGAAACTTTCGACGGCGCAACAGTGTCCGTGAAATGATGGAAAAGTATCGTTCGAAGTTTGTTGAAAATCTGCTTCGACGTTCATTCGTCTCTTTATTTATTAAGCACCTTGCTTCGCTTCGCTTAGCTTCCTCTCCCTTCGGTTTAGAGCAAATCACCATTTATTCTTATTCTTACTTACATTGTAACTTGTAATTACGTTATAATATACCTGTGTACTCGTACAATTGAATCCGAACGAGAAAAGGTAAAATAGGCGAGACTATACAAGGTGTTAAAAATACACTTTACTCTACGATCTGGTTGTGACAAGTTCGAACTATTCCATTTCTCGATCGAGTACGGTAATATCGGATATTAAGAAGCACCTCGTAAGCGATCGGTAGAAATGGGAGTATTAAATGATTACAAACAGACTGTGAATCCCTTCAGCGTAAGTAGATTAATCATGGTATTCGCATAAATCCATAGGTACGTGTATCATAAAACACACGAAATTTGTAAAATTAAACGTTTTCAGCAAAGCAAAACTCTGATATTCTGGTAACGATCTTTCCTTTAATTCTGTAACGATCAAAGCCACGGGTTTTCGTTCTACGAAGAAAAGCGTTTGTGCCGCGGTCACGAACAACTGCTGTTCTGATGGGTTTGACCGCAAGCACGACCGTTAAAATTTCTGCGGTCGCAGAATCGTTTTACCTTAACGATAGGAATACGTAATATAACGTAATCGCGATCGAAAGCTACGCTAACAATAACAGTGCGATCAAGACTTACCTAGTACGTCGGAATTGACTAGAACGCTGCAGGTATACATCGGTGTGACTAGTCGAGGATGCCTGGAGTTGAATACGCGACGACAAGCTTCTTTGAACGTCGACATCAAATAACCACCCGCTTGACTTTGATTCTGCCCGCTGTTTTCACTAGCGACATATGTATCATTTGTTTATAAAAGAAGAAGAAATAGGAAGACGATGACGAGAATGTATCATACCTGTCGGAGTCCTGATGAATCTCCCATTTTTTTACCACGAAACAGACACCCATCATGGGTTCTTCGCACAAAGGGCCGGCTAATGTTGCCAATTGGAAGCCGTTCATCAAACCGCTTTCGTATCTAGTACATTAAAAATATTGTTAAAGTTTTCAACGGAAAACTGTGAAACTTTGTTACTGAATACTCACGGGGCGCGCGGATCGATCGACTTTGGATGTCCCTCCCAAAATTTTTGCTGCTTATAGTCGGTTTCGTTCAACAGAATGTTAGAGCCGCAGTTTCTCGGCCCGAACGACCATATCCGATCTAACACGTCTTTTTGTCCCGCTTCTTCAAATGCAATCGCCAGCTCGCTCTTGAACGATTCCAATTCTCTTTGCCTCCTTTCGGACATCGAATACATTGACTCTGTTTTACCGATTTCTTTGTCCTTCTTCGTTTCCCCTTCCCTCTCCGACGACGATTTACCATAGTAATAATAAAGCGCCTTTATCAAATTCACGTTCTTCTCCAAGATTTTCGTCACTCGGTCCGGCAGAGGTCTCGCGTCCACTTCGAAGTAACATTGACGATTCGCGGTCCATGCGGAGAAACTACCTTCTTCGACCTTCTTCTCGATCGCCTCGTTCACCATGTCCACTTTCGGAGGAGGTACCACCGTTTCCCTGAACTGTACGATGGGTTCTGACACGTTCACCTCGACTTTTGCGTATCTTACTCTGAGATCCTCCAAGCATCTTTCCAAGTGTACCTCGCCGGCGGTGCTCAACACGATCTCCCCGCTTTCCTGAATGTGAACAAGAGCACAAGCGTCCGCCTGGTTAAGTAACTTCAAACCGTTGATCAGAGCTTGTAAATCGTTCGAATGTTTCGGTTCTAGAGCTACGCGCATTATGGGCACCCCTAGGGAAGTTAGCTCCGAGAAGGATGGACACGCGATAGTCGTGGAGAGAGTGGCAGTTTTTAACACGTGTTCCTCTAGATCGCCTATTCCGAACACGTTACCAGCGGTTATTTTTTCGGTGGGTTCTAATTCTCTTCCCATCATAAGATAGAGTCTTTGTATAGTGACTTTGGTCACGTGTCTTCCAGCCTTTAAATCCTTCAACGTTACGTTCTCCTCTGCCGGTAACTCGCCTGCTTTTACCCGTTCCAGTGCCTCCCGTGGATCGTGTTTCGGTCCAAGAACAAACACCGTGCTCCCTTTCTTCAAACAGCCGGAATAAATTCTTGCAAATGCTATCAACGTTGTTTCCGAATTCTCCTCCTCACCTTTCACGCTTCCCTCCGGACTTGGGTTCTCCGATTTACCCTCCGCATTCGAATGATCCGAGTTTATATCCTGCTGCGCCGCCTCCTCCGCCTGTTGCTCTTTCAGAAGTCTCTCCGCGTGTTTCATTCGCGCCACTTCCCTTCGTTGCGCCAATTCTTCGGACGTTAATGGTTTAGGTTTATTCTCCGGCAGTGCCTTCTTTTCCACTGGGAACATTTTTGAAACGAACACGACTACGGGCGCGTCTAGGGAAGGATCGCAAGCTAGAAACGCTTCCTTTAATCTTTGCGTTTCTTCCGGCAACGTGGAGAAATCAAAGTTACCGCTTAACAAACGTTCCACCTTTTCGGACGTTAAGTTGAGAGGTGCTGGAACTTTTTCACAAATGGCATCGAGACACGCGCGTGCCAGAGGCAACCATTGAGAACAAACGGCTTGCAATTGAGCTTTACAATCCGTATGCCTTAAATCTCTAGTTGTTAATTTGATATCTAACCGCTCGGTCATACTAGCTACCTTTTCCTTGTCCTTTCTTATAGTTATCGTTTCGTACAAAGTCCAAATATTGTCTAATATAAGCTGGACGAACAGAGGTTTCTTCGCCTTTTCCTGAGCTCCTTTCATGATCCTTTTTGTCTTTGAATTTACGTAATAATCGCCCCAAAGCGTTTTCAATAAAACTTTTTCGCTGAAACCCAATTTCTTTGAAAATATCTTGGCAAATTCTTTCACGCCGAATCCCCAACCATCCGTAGCGCTAGAAAATAAAACATTGCCTTGTTCCGGAGAAAAATATAAACCAGAATCGTCTATGTCGTCCAGCACCGACTGCCAGTCGGATAAATTTCTTTCAGAATCGTTTTCCATACTTTCCTTCTTCACGTTTTCCTTTTCCTCTCGTTCCATTACGTCGCTGGCAAACAGTTCTCCCATCACCGCGTTTACTTGCTCCAAAACTTGAGTCAAATGCATATAAGCATCCAATGGAGACAATTTCATTTCTGTAATTAATCTGTCGACTTTGTTCAATACGAGAATTGGCTTTAATCCCTCCGCGTATGAAATTTTCAGTGCGCTACGAGTTTGCGGGCATACGCCTTCTACTACGTCCACCACGATAAGAGAACCGTCGCAAAGTCTAACGGCGGTTGAAACTTCTGAAGCGAAATCCACGTGTCCTGGAGAATCTATTAAATTAATGACATACTCCTCCAGACAATACTGGTAATACAGGGTAATAGAACTTGATTTCATTGTAATTCCTCTTAACTGTTCGTCTGGACGACTATCCAAGTATCGTAGCTTGCCAGCAAGTTTACTGGATATGATTCCATTGCTAGCAACCAAGGAATCTGCCAATGTAGTTTTGCCATGATCAACATGCGCCAATATACAAATATTTCTTATGCTTGCAGGATTACTCTGAATCTCACTCAACTTCTCTGGGCTAACAAGTCGCATCCTTCTGACTGTTTGGTAAACCAATGTATACCCCAAGGATTTCCTAAAGATGCGCGTGTATACGTTAAGTACGATGAAAGTGTCTAACTGAAATTCTTAAAATCGTAAAAAAATATTGATTTTATCGAATTTATCAACAACAAAAAAAAAAAAAAAGGAACAACGTGTGGGTGTTAGAAAACCAAGTTTCAACGTACAATAGATTTTCGTACACAATGCGCGTGTAAATATACTAACTTGTAATAGTTATAGTAAACACTATTTCACTTTATTCTGTTTCCAAAATACGTAACGTTCGACAAACATAAGGATGTACGGTAGCCTCGTTGGCATCGTCTTCGTCTTCCCCAGCATACCACTTGTTTCGACCGCGTAAACAGCAATAATGGGAATAAATTATCGGCCAAACGTCGACCGTTGAAATTGTTCTTTCTTCCGTCGATCCCACCGAGCATATATTCGTCGAGCCGAAAACCTGCTCGACACTTCTCCTTACTTTTACAGGTTAGGACCATTAATGAAGCGCAACCTTGCCTGCTGGTTAACCTTATCCTTATCTCTTTCTCCTTCAAAGGAAACACTGTTCCAGTTTTCACCAAAAAGCAAACTTTTCTTAACGATGCATTATTCCAAAAACCATCGATAAACGAAAAACGTATCGAAAATTTAACATCCAACGGATACCATGGACGTGGCCATAACAATTCATATAACCGTATAAACGATTTGATCCGCAGTTTGCTTTCGTTGGAGAGACAGCGCTGTTTAAAAATAATCCAAGGTTAATTTATATTCTTTGAAATTGATACGAAATTGTACGTACAAGACCTTGTTAACAGCAATTCTATACGCAAAGCAAGTGCTTATGTATCGTGTGCACGTTAACCTTCTAACGATGAAGTATAGCGGTGTAGGGGAAGAACTCTCCCACTGTCGTCTCGACTAGCTGTTTGCGCTTGCGCACGAATACTAAAGAAGTAATTTTTTATCGTCGCGCATCGGATTCTCCTGATTGAATGCAAATGGTGGGGGCTTCCTCTCGAAACCTAGAGCGCAGGCGTCGACGCACACGTGCGGGAGAAAGTACGCTGAGCGCCATCTTTGCTTCCCTTCCTGTATTAACCACTACACGATCGATTTATCGATAACCACCTATCTTACCTACCGCGAAACTTATCGCAAATTCAAAACATTCGTGCAAAGAACGATGTGGCGGTACAGTACAAAAATCATACAATCGCCAAAACGATTAAGGAAACAATGTTCTTTGTTGTTATAATAATTATACATTACAAAATATATGTACAAACAATGTAACAAATAGTTTAACAGGTAACTATAAAGTTGAACAACACTTTCCGTTTAAAAAGAAGTATTAAAGCACTTTCAGGTGTAAGTTCTTATCAATTTGAATTTAAATTGAAACTATTCGGCAGCGAGGGGTGAGCCTTGTTGTTGCGCCTTCTTTTGCTGTCGAGCTTTGCCCTGCAAAGCTCGACGCCTTACGTTGCACATTGTCTTCGCGATCAACCAAATCGTAGCTTTCTCGCATATAGAACGTAATACGTTTACGGAAGCTAGTAACAAATAATGTGGTGGGTAGCCTGTTGAAATCAATTCGATGCCGATCGTTTTTAACGACGATTCTACAAATTTTTCCGCACTCGGTGCCATCCAAGTTGTTTTCCTGAAAACGACAGCGTCGATAATGAAAATGAATTTTAATTAAATCGTACGTCAAGGAGTTAACAAGTATAATGGTTCGGTAACGTAACACACGCGAGAAGGAGAGAGGGAAACGCGGATATGGATTAAACGAATTCAATTTAGCTTACTTGATCTTTGACATCTTGGTCGCCACCATGGCAGGAACTATGCATTGGACAGTGACTCCGTGCGGTTCGGCCTCTACGGCTAAATCTTGGCTAAGTTTGACGACGTAAGCCTTGGAAGCTCCGTACACGGTCAGATAAGGCGCCGGCATAATTCCCAATAGCGAGCTTATATTTATCAAAATTCCTTTCCTCCGTTCGAACATTTTTGGAAGAACGATCTTCGCGATGCCAGTTATAGCCTCGACGTTCAATTGCAAGATCTGCGCTACGCATTCCTCGGTGATCTGAGTGAATAACTCTGGATGCTCGTAACTAGCCCCAGCATTGTTCACCACAACACCGATCTGCACCAAACGAATTTACATTCGAAATTGCGATCACGCGCAAAATTTAACTCGCACAGACTATGAGAAAATAAAAAGAATACCTCGAGTTCTTCGATGGCTTTAGCAACTTTTGCGTAAGCTACCTGCCCTTTGGTCAAATCTGCATCGACGATTCGAACTTTGACGCCGTACCGTTCTTTGATCTCCGCTGATACTTCCTCGAGCTTTTCCAAGGATCGCGAGACCAGCACTATGTCCATGCCCTTTCGTGCCAGTTGCTCCGCGTACGCTTTCCCGATACCGCTGGTTGAACCAGTGATCACTGCCCATCGACCTTGATCCTTTGGGTCGATGCCGAAACCAAGAGTCGGTCCTATGTATTGCCTCCATAGGATCAGGCTGAGCCGTAACAAAATTCGCAACCCGATCGCTGCCAATACGACAAGCGACAGTTTTTCCCAACATGTCAACGTCATCCTGAAACGATTCGAAATTCCGCAAGATCGGATCTGAATTATCCCGTCCCGTACGATACGATTGATACGATCGATCTCGACTAACTATCGCGCCCGGCTATCAACGTCGGTTGTATCTACTTATCGATTTCGAGGCAATCTTCGTGTTTCACCTCTTCCCTCTCTCGTAACTCGTGATAACGCGATCGATCGAGCTAGTCATTGCCGGTCGCTCTGCACGCGGTTGCGACCTTTATTAACAGTCCACCGGCTGGAAACTCATTTCTTACAACTAGCGAAGATATTCCTACACGTTATCGCGCTACTTTTTTTAATTCTAATGCCTTTTGCGCTAGCTATACCGTTAAACTGTTTGCATACGTACATCAAGTTGAAGTAATATCGTCACATTATGCATTTGAATACTTTCGTAGGTGATTATGCACGAATATGCAACGAACAAAACTCGTAAGTTACTAAAAGTCAGTAACAGAATATTTAATGTGATGAAAACTGACAACGTTTCATGCAAATTTATTACTGAATACAGAAAAAATGAAGCATATTTTATTGGGGTAAAAGATCACTTTTTTAGATGGTACTATTATAATTTCTTTTATATGGTAGTATAGGCGGCGATTAGTAACATTTGATTTGTTGCTTTTTAATAAACCGTTCTAAAGTTGAATAAATTATTTTGTTATATCTTCGTGTTTCACCTCTTCCCTCTCTCGTAACTCGACATTATGATAACGCGATCGATCAAGCTAAGTCATTGCCGGTCGCTCTGCACCGGCTGGAAACTCATTTCTTACAACTAGCGAAGATATTCCTACACGTTATCGCGCTACTTTTTTTACTTTTAATGCCTTTTGCGCTAGCTATACCGTGAAATTGTTTGCATACGTACATCAAGTTGAAGTAATAGCGTCACATTATGCATTTTAATACATTCGTAGGTGATTATGTACGAATATGCAACGAACAGAACTCGTAAGTTACTAAAAGTCAGTAACAGAATATTTAATGTGATGAAAATTGACAACGTTTCATGCAAATTTATTACAGAATACAGAAAAAATGAAGCATATTTTATTGGGGTAAAAGAACACTTTTTTAGATGGTACTATTATAATTTCTTCTATATGGTAGTATAGGTATTAGTAACATTTGATTTGTTGCTTTTTGATAAACCGTTCTAAAGTTGAATAAATTATTTTGTTGAAAGTAAAACGAAAATGATTGATATAAATTATCGATACGATTATCCGTACTGTGCTATAATCGAACATCATCGTAAGAGTTTTTACACATTAGAATTACTAATGTTCACTGATAACTTTGGTTCATACGTCAAACTTGCATTAGTATTTGACAAAAAAGCACTCGAGGTTGTCATCGTGTCCGTTCGTAGAAAAATAATAAATATTCATTCGTTACTTCGGCAATAACCGCGTAATAGACCTTATTGAATTTATTTCGAGCGAGTAATTGAAAAGGAAGGAACGAAAAAAGCCTTCGATTGCCACTAAAATAACAAACGCTTCTATTTCGAGTTTGAGGCGTGTTGCAGCAGGCTTTATCAACGTGTACGACGCGAGAACTCACCTGTGTTCGATATAGTCAAAATCTGATAGTATTCGTCCGTTGGGTCAATGGTTTTTTCTTTGACACGATAGATACGTCGGCGTATCCGTGTGACGATCAGGCTCATTAAAGAATTGGTAAAGACGCTTCCGTCGAAAATGAATGAATCGATGCACTCGCGATGGCGATCGTTTCTCGCAACCCTGTTTCAACAACTTCCGTTTGACGGAAGTACGTAAGGACGAACGATGGTTAAACGATATGGAAGACCCGGACTGCACAAGAGACGAGATGGTATATGAAACAGTACCGAGGAGAAAGCAGAAAAGAAAGCTTGCGCCCGCGTGCGCGCGCATTCGCACACAGGTAGATGCACAAGGATTAGAAAAGGAGGATGGACGAGGAGGAGGTGTGTAACACGTGGAAAAAGGGAAACGAATTTAGAAGAAGCTAGAGGAAGCGAGAAAACGCGATACGGAAATACGGTCGATGCTGAGGGCCGCGGAGAGTTTGCGCGGGCGCAAAGCACGCTGGCGGGGGTGGATGTGGATGCTAATTCGCACGGTCATGAACACGCGAACGTTGGACGTTGAGGTAGCAATGTCAGGGCTAAGCTATCCCAGAAGAAAGTGGTCGGTTCCTTTGGCAGGAGAGGGGAACTGTTCACTTTTTCTTTGACACACTTTAAGATATTCCTCGTGTAACATGTACAATCTCGAAAAAATAAAAGTAGAATACCAACATCAGAGATATACCTTTCTCTTTAGCTAATCACGTTTCTCTCGCCTACCCTAAGGCAAAAGAAACAAAGCGTACTTTTCGTTCTATTTTCTATGAAAAATATCTCTATCATCGGTATACGTCATTTTGTATATAATTAGCTACTCATATACCTACTGGCTGGTGATATGCTGATTACGTACGATAGTTATTAGTCTGGTTTTCAAGAAAAACAAGTATATTTTACCGATTGAAAATTGTAGAGTGTTTCTTATCATTAGTATCCGTTTGCTTAACAAGATCATTACATAACGATTTCGTTTTATTGATCATTGTATCGATCGCGAGTAAGTTGATTTACGTATTCGTTGTCGAACAATAAAGTTGAAAGTTAGAATCGTTCGAGTTCGACAGGTTCCGATCGAGGTCGTGCGACTTTCCCGCTTCTGTGTTCCTTATTTGCGACGATCACTCGATACCGATAATATCGTTGTACGATTTTTTTTTTTGTACTTCAGATATGCAAATCTGTAGCGAATAGTTGTTCGGACTGATCGGCAGAGATCGGTTTTTTAGTGCCCGTTTTAACAACGTGACGACCAGATATCATGGTAACGTTACGATGCGCTTGATGTCTAATTTGAAGATGGAACCGCCTCCAAAGCAAGGCTTTCGTGTCCACGGATTTCGTCCAATCTCGCCATTCACCCCGAGTGATCGGCGCGCTTTCCATTTCAAACATCTTATCGATCACGTCGCGTAACCACCCGTTCCAATCCTTAGCCACGTCGCTGATGTACGACAACCATTTCGTCCAATCTCGGATTTCCTTCGATTCCACTTCCGGCACGAATTGTTTCATGAACGCCAGTTGAGATTTGCTCAGGATCGATCTTAACCAATTTGCTATCTTTCCGCATACTACGTTCATCACGTTCTCTAACTCTTCCGTTAAAAGTTCAGGATTTTCCAGCATCACGATGTTCCTCAGCTTCTCGTAAATCGCACGATGAATACCGTTCGTTATCGGATCCTCGCCCGTATTCTCCGGAGTTTCCGCGATCATTTTATTAATGGTGTCGATAATTTTACCAAACGTAAGGAAAGGAAGATCGGTTTTGAATAATTCGACTAGATCCTTCATCACATCTTTCGGAAGTCCCATTTCAGATGGAGCTTTCGTCTCTAACGCGGTTATAGACTCCTCTTTCTTGCCTTCCTCCGTTTCTAATGGTTCTCCGCCTTCCTCGGTTTCTAACGCTTCTACTTCTTCTTTTTCTTTTTCTTCTTCTTCTGTTGGCACGCTCGCATCTAATTCCTCCGTGGGAATTGCACCCTCGTCGGTTATTTCTTCTGTTTCTCCTACCTCTGGAACTGGTTCCTCACTTTCCGCTGGTTGCTCTTCCGTTTCCTCAACTATCGGCTCCACTGGTAATTCTTCGGATGGTTTTGTTGTTATCTCGATTTCTGGTTTTACTTCTGCTTCTTCCGGTGGTTCGGTTATTACTTCTGTTTCCGGTTCCGGTTCCGGTTCCGGTACTAGCTCTGCCGTTAATTGCTGTTCTTTGTCCGTCTCCTCTTTCGCGATCGTGTCTACTTCCACAGCTGCGTCTGCTGTAGCTGGACCTTCCGCTTCAGTTTCCGCTTCTGCTGTTACTTCAGCTTGCGGTTCCGTACCTTCTTCCACCTTCGATTCCGTCTGTATTCCCAAATCTTGTTCCTCTACTTGTGTCTCCGCTTGTTCCTCACCTTCCGTTTCTCGGATGTCCGTTTCATCGATTACTTCGGCACCCGATGCATCCTCTATCTCTTCCTCCATCTCCTCCATCTCTTCCACCACCTCTTCTCTTGATTTTTCTCTTTCCCTATCTTCGCTCTTTCCGCTCCTGTCAGTTAAATCTTCATCCTCTTCATCCTCCTCGTCCTCGTCTTCCTCAAGCTGGTCCTTTCCTTTATCCTCATCACCACGGTCATCATCGTCGTCGTCCTCGTCCTCGTCCCCCTTCATCTCCTCTTCTTTCTTCCGGCATCGTTCGATCAACTTTTTCTCTTGATTTTCCGCAACCTCGGACAATACTCCAGTTACCCAACAGGCTATCGCGTCGGCCAAGAAACGTAGCTGCTGCGATTTCCGGTCTTCGTCCTGCGGAGGAGTGTACTCGAGCGTATCGATTAAACGTTGAATTATTACTTTCGAGATATCGTTGAACTCCGCTTTGGGTATCGGACATTTCCATTTTAATATACTCCGGACGAAACGTTCGGCTATAAGGTATTGGCAAGAGACCGGATCCTTGTCGAACGTCGATCCTGTGCTCGTCACACCGATAGTCAATTTCCTCGATTTCCTCGTCTCTTTGAACAGCCGTTTACTTTTTCTTCCCTTTGCCTTTTTCTGATGTTTCTTTTTCCGCGATGCCACCGCCGCTTGTCTGAAACATATCGTTTATAGAATCGTTAGAATATTTTCATGCAGATCGTACGATGAAATATATTACTCGGGTGTCAAGCAAGTCTCGTTTTCCAATGTTCGAACGAGATTATCCAGAAAAGCCGGTGGTAGCGTAGCCGCGCCTTGCTGCAATGCCATTAACATTCGTTGCCTCGTCGGTTGGGCCAATTCTTTAATTCGTGGCGACACTGGCTTTAGTTTCCTAAGCACCGGCTTTGAATAGCATTCCGGGGGGCATTTCCGACTACATGGAAGCATTTAGAACCTTTCGTTATACTTCCATTCCCCTGATTGGTTGAAAAGTATCAAAATTACATCATCAAAGAGTTCGTGTCGATTAAACTGTCACCTTGGCGTGGCCAACATGTCGATGTACTTTTGCTTGGTCAAGCAATGCCTAGGCACGATGTCTAACTTTGGTAGTACACACGGTTTCTCAGGCACCGAAATCATTATGTATTTTGCTGCCTTTTGTCTCTTTTCTTTTCGTTGCTGGCAACAATCCCTGTCTGATTTCGCTGAATGCTACCGAAGAAACCCTTTATCGAATCACCTCTACTCTTAACGAATCAATTACTAATAGACAGAAAAGGAAAAGGAAGAAAAAGGAAATAAATGGAAAAACAAGATGTTCCTAAAAATTAAATATCTTCGATTTGCCTTTGATTTCTTCGAAGGAGGTTTATCGCAGTGTTCCCATTTTTTTTTCTTCTCCACCACTTGTGGATATCCTTCAAACGTGTCATCCTTTTGCCCCTTGTTTATTTCCCGCTCAACAGGAGCAGCCCGTTTTACGTCCTTCGGAGCGTCGTCATGCTTTTCCATGTCCATTTTCTCTGATAATACGATATATGTATAATAGCATATATCTATAGGAATATATATAAAATTTCTCTAAAAACATTACTTTTACTTTATGAGATGCGAATGGTTAAACAGAATCTAGTTTCCTTATTGGAATATCGAAGATTTCATCTTACTGATAAATAGTGCTATTGCATTTTCTATTTCTTCTTTTAGCTTCTTTTATTTTAAACACTAGAATTTGTTCAGTAAGGTCCAGAATACTTGAAAATTTGGTTTACATTTTACTTAAAACATGTTGAAAAAATTAGGTTAGAGAAACCTAGTTTGTTTGCCTTAGCATCATTGTTTTTCATTTTCAATCGAATCGAGAATATCTAACCAAAACCTACTCAGACTTACAAAAGGCAATTATTTTCAAAATTCGCAGCATCATTTTCAGATGAATCAACCGTCAGTAAGGTAGGGAAATCAGAGCATGTCGGTTTTCCAAAAAACAGCCGAAATGTTTTATCGGGAGAGTTTGACCGTTTTGGAAGAGATTACGAAAGGCATCGAAAGATGGCAATGGGTAGGATATCAGTGCTCGACACCGATAGCTGCTCCGTTCACTAATCGATCATTCCGGGTGTCGGGAGTTGATGCAAGTAGGTGCAAGTTGGTGTGCCTATTTGAGAGGACGCATACTGTACAAGGACACTTGGGAGTAAAAGAAGAGTTTCTAAGATATGCAGGTGTGTGAAAATAACTGTTGCTCCTGCATAAGCGACCCGTGATACAGGTGTATTAGTACAAGATGCTAGCTGGCATTGTGTCGTAAAAAAAAAATGTCGAGAAGCAACGTCGAGTCGTCGGAACGGGACACCGTTTGAAACGTTCAACGATATTCTTGCTTCGTTGCTGCACCGCGTCAAGTGGTCACGATTATGATGAGATAACGAACACAGAATGAAATACAGCGACAGTAACCTTCTCGGTTATGCAGTTTTCGCGTTTATTCTATTTTTTAACGGTGAGTCAAACCCGTGTTTTCTTTATTTTATTCCAACCATTCTAATGTTTTGAAATTCTTTCCCGGTTATTTCCTTCGTCTCGCGGTCGATTCTTTCATCCCTCTTACTGATCTTAGCGTGTCATTCCACAACTTTGATCAGCTTTTAGTTTCCCTTCGAAACTACGCGCCTAAAATTCATTCAGTCGAACAGACATTATTTATTGGTTAGAATTATCCTGTAATTCATCGATCAGGACTATTCACCAGTGTGTAAGTCGACGATTCTTCTCTCGGATTTATTCTTTCTGATGTTCGTATCGAGCGACAATTTTTAACAAAAATTCACTACTCGGATGGCCCGATTGACGTAACGTGCATATGACGCATGTGTTGCCGCTCACCTGCTTATTCGCTCACTCGCTCGTTCGCTCATTTAGTACGATATACGCGCCTCATTTTCTTTTTTATCAAACGCATACAAATTACGGTTGCACCGATTGTGCCCGAAAATATTTATAGCCAACCGAATGGTCACTGTTTTTCTTCAATGCGCGACAGTAAATAATACAATAAACAATAAGGAACAAACAGTAGTGACCGTATTTTATATTTATTTTGTTAGCAAATTTTATTTGATAAGTATAAGTTATGATTAAATAGACAAACAAGTATTTCAATTAATTTTGTTTCTTATATTTTTCAGTTATTCGGGCAGAAAGCGGTGTTAGTTGCAAAGATCAACAAGGACGATCTTATGAGTCTGGTTTCCTTTTTGTTCCGGGCCCAGAACCTTGTACATTGTGTGTTTGCGAAAATGGCAATCCAAAATTGTGCAAAGCATTACTTTGCAACTCACGTGCAGAGGTATTTCAAATATTCAAATAAGCGTACTGTCTTATCTCTTTCATGGTTCTTCCATGCCATTTAAACATTGATTCTGTATTTTAACAGGAGGATTGTAAGTCTTCTAGACGCGGAGATATCTGTTGCGAATACATTTGCTTGTCGTCAATTTCAAATGATAAAAACGATGGAATGGGCAGCAATACCACAGACGCGACTGCAAATTATGATATAGGACTTAGATCGGTTGCTAGTTTTGTGACAGCCGTGTTATCTCTGAGTCTGTTGTTTTTCTTGATACACCGTTTACGTCAAAGAAAGATACGAGGTATTTTAGTCTTTTACGATATATCGCGACCGTCTTTCTTAAAGTCATTGAATAAATATGTTGATTATTTTGTAAAAGTTTGCATCGCAGGAAGACAAAGCAGACAGTTGGCAGAGGACCAAAGAAATTTAGGTAGTATGGGATATATAGAACGAGATGGTTTGTCGCACGGTGTTCCCATGGACGACATTCCGTGCGGAGCTAATTATCCGTTATGGAAACCGCCTAGCAATTACTTTCCACGAGGAGAGGCACCGCCACCTTACGAAGAAGCGGTAGCAGCAGCACGCGCGGAACAAGCGCTTTTAGCGATGAATCCGCAAACGTTGCCGCAAATAAATTTTCCAAATACTTATTTGACAAATGCTAATAGTCGTACGAGTATATCGTTAGTAGGAAACGCGCAAACTGGATTGAACCCTAACACGGCAACAGTAATGTGCGACACTGGTGTAACGGATCAAGGTGGCTTGATTTCGGCGCCGAATAGACCAATATCAAATCCAAACATATATGCTTGTTATCGTCAACCGAATCAAAACGAGACGCTGTCTCCTAGTGTTAACGTAGGAACTTCAACTACTAGTTTCACTCTGGGGACAGGTACCTACGAAAATTTACCTATCACGCCTATTGGGATTTTGAACTTTACTACCCATCGTCTAGACGTGACCGCACAGCCTATGTCTAACTTACAACCCACCATTCCAAAAAGTTATCAATCACATACGACTCTTCCACGTCAAACCGGAGCGTTTACAATATCTGCAACGTTGTCAAATTCCAATGTGAACGCTCATCGTACAATTCCTAGGACTATAACGACTCGGTCTGGTACAAAGCTGCAAGAGATTATAAACGATTGTACCCAGAAAGAATTTTTACGATCTACGACGACCACGACCACGACCACAACCACGATGACGATGACGATGGCGGTGACCACGACCACGGCGACGGCGACAACGATCACCAACATTGTACCGTCAAACTTATCACATTCTGTGCAACAAATTGCCATAACTAAACTAGAAAATACAAGGGAAAACGCGAGTCAAGGTACATTTTATGAAGGTGTACAAATACAACGTTCCCCTGTTTCTGTTACTTCTTCTGTAGGATTACAACAAATTGAAAGGCAACAGCTGGATCGTAAAATAGAGAAATCTCAAGATTTTAAGGTACACTAGGATCTACGTCTATGTCGAGAAATGTTTGAAATATGCATCATGTAATAAGTTTTGTAAATTTCAGCCCCCGTTAAATGTAGCCAATGAAATTAACGAAGAAGGAAGTTTCGAATCGGTAACGTGCGCTTGCAGCATGCAAGCTCTTCCTACGCTTCACGACGATACCGATGATTATAGGAGCGAGTGTGAAAATTGTAAAAGCGCGACAGGGTCTCGTTATTACTTAGATAACGAAGATGAATTAGTTACATCTCCACACGAAACCATGACGTTACATAGAAGACCCGATGAAACGACTTCGAGTACTACTCCTCAGTATTACAGAACTTCGCTTACACTGCCTATAAGTACCCGTCAACGAACAAGGTAACTATATAAGACTTTACTTCGCCGATGTATATCATGCTTTTCTTTGACTTTATAGTTAGCGTTGTTGTTTGATTTTGAAATGTGCAATTAACAAAATTTAACAAGATAAACAAACGTTGAACAGCGTGTTATTTGCGTTCAGGAGTACCGGAGTTCGAGAGAATTGGTTCAACACTATGCCTCAAAGTTCTACAGAATCCTCGGACGAAAATTGATCGCGAACTTACGGTGTATAATTCCCACACTTTGTATAGCTATTGAAATCATCATTACCTATGACGCATTACCGTGATCGAAATTGAATATTATAGTAGATGAACGATGTTCATGTTTTATTGCGTTACAGGCAACAATATGATGTTGTTAATAGAATTTCAGTATTGCAGCGAAATGTGTTCTATCTCGTACACTGTCGAAGTCTGAATTATTCGTGTATTCAGATAGTGTGCGATCACCGAGAAAAATTCAGTATTGCAGCGAAATGTGTTCCATCTCGTACACTGTCGAAGTCTGAATTATTCGTGTATTCGGACAGTGTGCGATCTCCGTGAAAAAAAAAAAAAAAAAAAAAATGAGTCACACACCTTTGCTGTCACAGTTCTTCTTTACACATTAAACTGTGGGAGCAACTTTTAGGTATACCTATTATACATATACATAGCATCACGACGTACGATTTCGATAAGTTTGAATCAATAAATAATAAGGAAACAAACTAACTGTATAGCATCCGTAGAATTTTTTTAACTGTGTTCGATGCATATCATTCGTTAAAAAGTAATCAAAAAAAGAGTAAAAAATGCAATTTTGACAGCTTTATCTCCATTGGAGTCGCGTAACAATTTAGTTTGATCGTCGTGAGCAATGACGAGTACGATTTTTTGAAATCAGGTAACACAATAAAACGCAAAGAACACTCTTGGTTCACACTATACGTACTGTGACAAACAACTGAGATTATATTGAATAGTTATACGGTTCAGTGTATCATCGTTGACGACAAAGCATCGAGGACGAGTTTCGAACTAGCGTTTCATTTGTATATTAGACATTAAGTAATTTTCATCGACTGATGTGTATATAGTATCGTTATAATATACATTTTAAATGTGATTCAATGATACTTAAAACAGAATTTCTTCCTGTTCTAATTTCTCCTTGCAAGAAATTTATAAATGTATTTATTACCATGAAATGCTTACGTTCAAAGATACATATCAATATGCAGTACGACTGCTCGGTTATACTTAAAAATTTCACATAAAATATGTTCAGTTTAACTTTTCATTCCATTCCATTCCATATGTTATGCATTCCGATGAAATTAATGATTTCCACTGGTTCGAATAGTGTGAATCAATCTTAACGGGAATATTATTATTATTTTGTTCACCGATCATGCAACAATGTTGATTTTCCATATGTTCTTGATGCATCTTGAAACATAAATTAACACTCAGGAAAATTGTATCTTTATGTGAACTTCATGTGTAAAACATTTTTTCGTGATCCATTCTTCCTCCAAATAATTTATTGATAAGAAGAAAAAAAAAGATTGGTCATATAATAATCGCGCAAAAATTTCTACCGACTGATTTTAAAAACAGAATGAAAATTTTTAAGTCTATACAATTGTATTCTCTGCGACGGTGACGAGAACAATTCCGTACATTGGTGACTGCTTGTGATAATATAAACTTTATACATGCTCTAAACATACTGTGAATGGAATGCTCATTATCTGCGATCGGTGATTAAGAATCTCTAAGATGTGTAAAAGGAGAAACGAAGTTACGATGCATCCCTGACAACGTCATTAACGTAATTTCATTTTGTTTATATAAATTTAAGAATCTTTATGATTTTATTCAATTGTATGTATAAAGATGGTTTCGTTTCGGCAGAGTACTATTGCGATTACCTTCCAACTGTTGCATAGTTCGTAAAACTGTTTCTCTTGAATATCATGATAAACATTTTACAAAGTTAATATAAACTGTAGATCGAACGAATCACAAAACAGATTCTACGTTACTTTGTACATTATTTTGATAAATTTTTATTATTTCTTCGTGATAATCGTTGATATTTGTAAATTTATAAATATTTATTGTTAACGAGAGCGTAAATCATTTGTACAATTATACTTTCAGAAACTCTGTTAATAATTTAATTTACGTAATTATGGATTTCGTGATTTGAATAAGTTATGCTTGGTAGGTTTAAAGAAAGATAATGAAATCAAAACTTATTTTTCATACTTAATCGGCATTCGCGATGCCTGTAAATGTATACATTCGTCAGATAGTTTAATGACGAGGGAAGAATAGAGCCGTGTAAAATATACGAATAAGATCCTTTAATTTAGTAAATCATTAGGGATCATCGATTTTCATTTTTTGAACGATGAATTTTAATCAATTTCAGAGTATGGACGGGCTTATAACTTGTGCGCTGATTATCGGCATTTTGTATTTTTTATTAAAATACAAAATGAAAGTGAACGGAAAGAGAAAACAATGATGATGATACGAAAAGAAAAAAAGATAAATTTGCTAGAAGTTTTCTAGACGTAATCTTTTATCTCTAGTAACAAGAATTTTAATACTTCTTTTCTTCTTTTTTATATCAGTTTGTGCTTCGATTAAAATAGACGAAATAGTAGAAAGTAATGCTGGAAAAATTCAGTTTCTTTGTGATTATTGAAATTTCAATTGTTAGTAAAATCCATGATAATAAATTAATAACAACTTTCTGAAAGTACGAAATATCGAACGATAAGATAACATATTCGAAATTGAAAGTCATTGGTAAAACACGAAAAGAAACAATGATACACATCGAACTATTACATATGTATATGTATTAACAGTACATACCATCTAATTGTAAGTTACGAATGATTTTCGGTAATTTTCAAATACCTAATACCAAGCTGAAGTTAAAAAAGAATTGTAATACGTAAAACGATTATGTGAAACGTAACGTTTTAAAGTGATTATTTCCGACAGTTTTAAAATTGCTGAATTTTCATTATAAAAGTCATGTAAAGCGATTGACCTTCCACCAAATTTGCATTGAATTAAAGACACCGATAAAGAGATATGCGAACATATAAAATTATAGCAACGAGATACGCGACTATAAAAATATTGTTACACTGATAAAGTTATGTTTTAAAATGAAGAAAACGCATGATAAGTGATCCAAAAGCGGTATGTAGATATATTTATACTTCCAATTGTAAACGGATTCTAACAGTCAGAATCTCTTCCTACGATAATCGACGCATTTCGTGTGTTCATTAAACTCGACTGTATTCCATTCTTGAAAGAAATGTGTTCATTATAATATAATAAACTTCTTTCTAATATGCATTAAATCGTTCGATGAGCGAGGGTACAACAAGCTGGACTTAACACAAACTCGAACAAACGTTCAAGACTCTTGTAGTTAAAACGGTACAAACACCTGAATTACTTAATTGTTCGTCTAGTGATCTAAAATATTGTAATATATCTGTCTGAGTAGGTTTAGAAAACAAAAAAAAAAAAAAAGATCTTTATTGCGCTTACTTGCGTAAATAAAACATTATAAATTAATATAAGTTGTATTAGGACACTTATGTCAGCAGCTATCATTTAATTGTAATAAATCAATAATTTACATAAGCTATCATTTGTATTTATTATGCGTTTAATTGAACTAATTTTGTTTCTGTTCATTTATTTTTGAAATCGGCCATACATAAGACTACACGTGGTAAGAAAGATAATGTATGACGTCCTATCTATACGTGTGTAGAAAGAGCATGCGCGAATGCGCGCAACTAAAAAATTCTTTACATATAAATAGTATGTAAGTATGTGCATATATTTACACACGTGCACACGCAACGTGATACATTTTAACTATCCTACTCGCAAAAGGACAATCTGATGAGACCAAATTACGATGTATCAGAAACTATAAATGTCGTTCATGTTTTTCGAAATAATATAATTATTATTCGGACTTTCAAATCTGTTTTAAATAACAGTCAATTATCTTTATTTCACTTGTATGTACAACCGAAATCAAGTGGCCGACTAAAGGAGATATATTCTTCAAAGAAATATGTATGTATATACAAATGGTTTCTAAGGCATCCATATGAAGTCGTACGCGCGCGTGCGCTCATTAACCTAACCTTATAGAACGTATCTTTTTGGGAAGATATATTTGGAGTTTGTGAACGATACGCACACGTTTCACGATCGATAAGTAATCAGTTTCGTAGGTTCGATATTTTTCATTCTATGAGAAGTAATAAATTTTTAGTCTACACGTGAATAAGCATTATTCGTTTTTCTTGAATAGCTGATAGCTGAATGTTTTAAACCGAATGACCATTTGATACATATCCATCGAATGGAAGTATAAAAAATAAGATCACAAAGGTAACGTATGATTGATTACTATAAAACAAAATCGAAGTATTAACGAAAAGAAAGATACGAATAAATGAGATCAAAGGACTGTAACTAAATGCAACAACGATACATTGATACGCAATCGCTAATATAATCAGACGCCATCTCGTGCTATGCAAAGGTATCATGTAAAATCAGTAGTTTTCCAGTTCTGATTCGGCATTCGCTTAAAACGCAATCAACTACACCAAGAATTGTGACGGATTACGATCCATTACGATAGTCAGAAATAAGCAAGAGGAGCAAAGAGGACACGTAAAACATGGCGGATGCCGTTGTAGACGGGACTCCGATGTCCCGATTTTTTTGTCATAAATGCAGTATCGAAATTGAACGTTTATTACCTGTAAGTATGTTTATCCCCATTCCTTTTACACTAACGGCTATAGATTAGATATAGTTCTCTTTTTAAAATCTAAAGTTTCTTGTTTTCATCTGTCATCCGATATCACGCATGAGAACTTCTTTTTCCTTACATTTCATTTACCGTATAAAATTAATTTTATACACTTCGTTACTTTCCAATGATTTTAAAAGCGATTATTATGTTATCATTTAATTAAATTCAGTTCAAAGTGTACATTATCGAAATCACGCAGTTTCGAGAACATTTTCAATAGCTTTTACTATTGTGTCTTTGTATTCCTTTGGTTTTTAAATCTTCTCTCTCTTTTTTTTTATAGGATTATACGTGTCCAAGATGTGCAAGCGGTTTCATAGAAGAATTAGAGAGCAGTAGCAATGATAGTGGTTCAGGAATGGACATTAGTAGCGAAGATTTAAGTGACATTGATGATAATCCACCATATAATGTAAGTACCATATGATGTTTTGTAGATTTACTGCTTTCTACTATGTATTTCACATTTATATCGATTAAATACTTTTTATATAGTTCCCACAAAGAAATTTATATGGTGCAGAACGTGATTTAATAGAGATGTTACTGGGGATTTCCAATCAAGGACAAACATCAAATGCTTCTAACAGAAATAATGGTCCTACTGGTAGAAGACGAGTTCACTGGTATAGAAATGCTCAAGACAGACGTCGTTCTAACAGGTATGTCATTTATACTGTACAAATTAATTAACATAGAGTATATCACATAACAAAGATTATAATAATAATAATAATAATTCATTATTTTCATATTTAACAATAGCCTTGGGAGAAGAGAAGCTGTATCTGTAGAGAATTTCATACAAGAATTTGTACTTAATCTCTCGGGAGTAGGTGTAGCTCAAACTGTAACCCAACCTGGACAGCTACCCGTGTATGTACAGAATTAATTTTTATTGTACATTTACTGTTGCTTGTGAAAATATGTATGTATATTTGAATGTATACGCGTGCTTGTACGAATGTGAATATATGTGTACAGTAAATAATATTACTATGCTAGCTGATCTTACACAATTCTCTTTGCTTTGTGTATATTAATTATATACTATATTATCCTGAGTGAATTAAAGAATAATTTTTGTTTCTGTTCTATCCATGTGTATAATTTTTCCGTTCGACATACAAAACAGGATTTTATGATCATTGATGAGATTAGAATATTTTTAATATTGCTTAATATTTTTGTTTCTTCCTAGCTTGGTTATTTCATTATTCAAAACGTTAATACGTGTTTCATATTTGCTAAAGAATTTGTTTACTATTGTTACTGTAAAAACGTTTTGTGTAGGATTTAGAACTAGTATTTTTGTATGCATGCAATATTTTTGAAGTAGCATGTGAACAGAGATAAGTTTTAAATGTGTGTGTGTATGTATTCGTGCGTGTTACATGTACAAGTGGCTGTGTGCATGTGTAATTACAGTACTGAGTATTATTCATAAATGGCGATACCCTTCCCGTGGGCTTCAATGAGCTCCTGGCTCTTTCCCGGGTCCCCATCCGTCCCCTGGGGCGGTTCCAAAGAAACTGCCGACGTGTGGGAGAAGGCCCCGTATATATAGGCCTGTGGCGGACCACTTGAACGGTTACGCGGGAGAATTTGAATTGATGTTTATGTTGTTATCGTGAAAAATAAAGTTTTAATTTATTTTCTTTCTTATATAGGTTATTGCAAGTCTAAATACAGGTATAAAGTAATCCTGGTTTGTTCTTGGTCGAATTTCGATCAAATCACTTAATTTTGTATAAATTATAAATTATGTTGAATATTTATTATAAATAATGATAATTCTAGAAACATGAGATCGAAAATGATAATTGTTTTGTATGCATTTTATTAATAAGCATGGCATGTGCAAAATTTAAAGCGTATTATTTAAAAAGGACTTGTTCACCCAGGATAAAAGTTATTATTATTTTGCTTGATACTTGGTATTACTAAAATAAAACACAATAATGTAGATTCAATATTAGACTGTTCTTGGGAAATCCTGGAGATTATGTTTGGGGTCAGGATGGTTTGGATGCAATCGTAACGCAATTGTTAAACCAACTGGATGGAACTGGACCACCTCCTTTACCACGAAAGCAAATAGATGAAATACCGAATACAATGGTTACTCAAACTCATGTTGGTGAGTACAACTTTTATATACTGCCAAAACATAAAATTATATTTAGGCAGCAAATTATTTTTAATAAATTATACCTTATCCTATAGAGAGTAAACTTCAATGTTCCGTTTGTTGGGAGGACTTCAAACTGTCTGAATCAGTGAAACAACTTGCGTGTCAACATTTGTATCATGGACCGTGTATCGTACCGTGGTTAGAATTGGTGAGTTAAGCAGAAAATCTTAGAACAAGCATGTTCCTAATTGGTATAGATATATTTGCCATCTATTTTTTTTCCTCGTTTTCTTTTTCTCTTTTGTTTCAGCATGGTACTTGCCCTATTTGTAGACAGAATTTGGGAGACCAAAATTCAGCTGATGTAAATCAAGATACTGTAGGACCTAGCCTAGCTGCTCTTTTTAGGTACGTTATATGTATAATTTATTTGCGTTATATATTCGTATGTTAACATAAAGATTACGAGAATATACATTAATATTAGTTCGCAGAAATTTAAATGTTTCCTTGATGGAAGATGGAGAAATCATGTAAATGTGTTCGTTTCTTTTTTATTTATTTGTTACCCTTTTGTTTTTTTAGGGCAGCCAATGAATCAAACAGTACTAGAACATCATCAACGTCATCTTCGGGTGGGAATAACTCCAGTAATAATTCAACGAGTGAGATTTGAGATTGATCGTCCTGCATTTACACTTTCTCTACTTAGCAGGATACATAAATATACAAACGATATACATTTATTTTTCACATCTTCAGATTTATTTTTCGGCACTGTTCACTCGAGCAAGGCACTTATATATACTTCGTAAATACTGTATTCTGATGCTAACATAAATTTCAAGCTTTATATTTTAATCAACAGTGTAATGTAAATCATAAAAAGAAAAAAATAATGCAATATCAAGGTTAAACATAATATTTTGCTTCGTGCGAATTATAATGAAGTATGGTCATAATAAGTCAAAGAAAGACACATATATTTGAAGTTGAAATAATCCTTGTTGCTATATATATATATATGCTGTCTCATAGTTTCTGATAAAAACGCAGTTTATTAAGTTTCTCAAACAAATGTGTCTAAAATTAAAAAAAAAAAAAGAAAAAAAATGTACGTTTCTTTATAAAAGTTCAAATTTTGATGTTTAATAAATTTAATGTAGCAGAATAATATTTACAAAAGAAAAAAAATGTAATATAACTAAAAGATGTGTATTACACAGAAAAATAACGCTACAAACGTTAATGATTTTAAGTAAGAGGTTTGTAAATTTCCTCTTCCATTATGTGTGATAAATTAAACAGATTTCCTTGATACTTATTTGACTACATCATATATCTTTTTTAAGTTCCAGAGATATTCGAAATTGAGTCTTATTTAGAATCAAATGTTTGCACTAGTATCGTTCTGTAAATTATCATTGATACATCGTATTTTAATTGTTATTAATAAATGTTCAATTCAGCTAACGATGCGTGAAATATATATATATACATTAATGGATATTATTTTAGTAATGAAAAATGTGAAAAATGAAAAGCACTGACAACACGAAATATCTGTATCACTGTTCAAAATCATGTTTTATTTTTGTTTAAATGTAATCTTATTTTATATGATTCATGTCATCTTTAAATTATCCATTCACCAAGTTTATAAAATTGTGGATACATATACCATGCCAAAGGAATCGTGGTATACGACTTCATGCAAATATAAACTTTTTCGTTTCATAATTCACAGTTGGAGATAAATTTAAACATCCTAGATATATAAATATAATAGGAAATGTGAATAGCGTCTATATAGAAATGATTACATAATTATATGTTTATAGTTTTCAATGTATTACGTTACCGAAGTTGTTATTACCTACAGTAATAATGATGATGATAATAATAATAATAATATATATATGACACTCTTTCAATTTGCCATATTACATAGAGCATGATAAGATGTAATATTGTCCCCTTAAGTTAATAAAATTTAATTTGTTTACAATTATAAATTTGAAAAAACAAGATTGTAATTCAAAAAATTGATAAATTCAATTCTTATAATTAAATATAATTTAATTGCAAGAAATTTGTAAACAATTTAAAAAAATAAATAAATGGTTTTTGTTTAGAAGATCTAAAGTGTAATAAATAATTGAAAAATATAAAAATATATCAACTCTATTGTTGGTAACATTATTTGATATTTATATTCGACATACATATATCTAATTGTGCAAATGTATTTAGAAACACACATCTGTACCGATCTGTACGTGAATGTATATAACGTACTACATATACACTTTGAAGGTTGTATGTATGTAATACCATGATGTAATTTTTATAAATACAAGTACATATATCAAAAATTGTTATCTTTATATCGCATAGTTGAATGATAAAAAGAAGTGGCTAAAAGAAGATGTAATAATAACATCTGACTTGGAGCGATATGACACTTTGTGTACATAAAAGAAAGAAAGGAGGATAATAATAGATACTTAAAAATTTATTTTGCATCAGTTGTTGAGTTTTTAGTTATTGGGATGATATTGTTGCATTGCTAAATAATTCTGTTTAATTAGTAATCAAGATTATACAATGTATAATTAACTTGAATTTTAAAATTAAGAAAAATTGTGTAATGCGTTGAACATAACCAATGAAATGGCGTTTGAACTAATCTCAATTAAATTTCATTGAGAAATTAACAGTGAACACGTTGTGTCGTTCAAACGTATAAACAAATTAAGTGAAATGAATATTTTGGTGTATTTTCTAAACATTCATAAAGAATGGCAGAAAAAGAGGCAAAAATTGAATACGTGACAGAACCATGTCCGATCAAACCACGTAAAATAGGACCACAAAACGTAGTGATACGTCTAAAGCGGCGAGAAATATTTGGTTGTCCTTATCCAGGAACCCATGTTCACAATGCTAGACAGTTTTATCAAAATGTATTTCCAAATTTCACTGTCATGAATGTAGAAAAACCTCCATGTTTTCTCCGAAAATTTAGTCCTGATGGTCGTTACTTAATTGCCTTTAGTGCTGATCAAACTTCCATAGAAGTTTATGAATATCGAGGTGCATCTGCAGCTGCTGATTTGTTAGCAAACTGTGAAGGGGAATATATTGGTCATAAAAATGATGAATATAGCTTTCAAATTAGAAGCAACATTTTCAGTCGTTTTTTCAAGGTATGCAGTTATTGCTTTTGAACTTTGAATTGCAAGAAAAAGGGAAAGCGATGAATGTCTAATATTGTTTATAGGCTAAGTGGATCGTAAATGTTGTTCAAAGTAATGAACAATTAAATAGAGAATGTAGTCTATTTACTGATGATGGCAGATATGTAATTGTTGGTTCAGCTGCCCACATTCCAGATGAATTGAGGCCACATTTTTATCAAGTATATCATTTACCAAACAGTGTACTAACTGGTATTTTAGTTTTCTAACAATATGTCATCTTTTAAGATTTACACCAACAATGAAGCATTGACTCCAAATCCTAGATCACCGCTAGAAGATTATAGTTTACATCTTGTTGACTTACGTGGAGGAAAATTATGTGATACTAGGCATTTTAAAGTAGACAAAATATATTTATCTCACAATCAAGGTATATTAAATTTTACTTCAAACATGGATTATTTAGATTATTTGATGAACAAACTAATAGGAATATGTTTCTCTTTTATGCAGGCCTTTATTTGTATAAAGATATATTGGCAGTATTATCTGTACAACACCAAACTATTCATATATTTCAAATTCTTGATGGAATGTTTATCAATGTTAGGACAATAGGAAGGTACCATTTATTTTGATAAATGTAGTTGCTTCATTGTAGATTAACAATACTAATTACTTCCTTCAATTTGTAACAGGTTTTGTTTAGAAGATGACGCGTATTTAGTTACAAGTGCTTGTCCAGGAGTAAATTGCCGCCCATTTAGGGACGTTACGATAAATAGTCTTAAGCACAAATTATTAGTATATTTGTATAAAAGGGCAGCCTACATCAGCGAGACAACAAAGGATCCGTATGAACTAAGACGTTTTTATCAATATTTTGACCAAGTACGACGCAAAATTTTAATACGTACAAGAACCTTGAAAATATCATAAATATACGTAACTTTAACAAGTTAATATTTCAGCTGAATGCATTGCGAATGTGGAAGATGCAACTATTAGATACAAATCATATACTTGTAAGATTTGCGAGCGAAGAAGTGGCAACCCTTCAAGCAAATGAACCTAATGCCCAACCAGCGCTTTTAGTAGTTTATGATATGGTTTCTGCTAAAATATTAGCCGCGTACGATAACGCGTCCACACAATTATTAACACAGTTTGAGAATTTTAGTGATTTCTTTCGAAATGCTAGAATGAGTACTGACTGTCAGTATATGTGTTCGCCGTCTAATAACATATACGCAAGGTATAATGTAATACATAAATACAACGACGCGTTATAGCTATAACGTTAATTTCTCATGTTATTGCAGATTGTTACAACAAAGATTCAAACAGACAATAGTAAGTGCTAGATATGGAGGAGTTACAGAGGCTACCAAAAGATTACTTGCTCAATTGCCAATATGCGCGCAGTCCTACTCTAGTTCTCCATATCTAGACCTATCTCTATTTTGTTACGACGACAAATGGGTATCGATGATGGAGCGCCCCAAAGCATGTGGTGAACATCCCATACGGTATAATTTTGATTTCTGATATCTATAACAGTTACCCGGTACGAATACCTGTTACTTATTGATGGGATTTTTATAGATTTTACGCCCGAGATTCTGGTCTTTTAAAGTTTCGAATGTACGCGGGGATGTTGGGTCGTACAACACCTACGGCCGCGAGGCGACTGGTCGCATTTACTTTTCATCCAACGGATCCGTTTGCTATTTCAGTTCAGCGAACGAACGCAGAATACATCGTCAGTTTCCACGTTAGACATGTTTAAACTTTTATCGAGGTGTCTTAACAGTTGCATTATTTTTATACTTTCCTTTTCAATAAAATCGATCTCATTGTCAGTATGCAATTTTAATAACGATACTTGATTTTTTCGAAAAATTTTTAAGGAGATTTATCTATTACTACTGTTCGTCGATATCTCTACAAGTTTTAATTTAAAATTGTTAAATGTTAGAATTATTAATTAAATGTTAGAAATAAAGAGTGTGAGAGATTAGTAGTAACGTTTGTTGCGAAAACCCTTATTTCAGTGATGCGTCGTTACTGAATACTCCCGCATTAAGCTTAATTAATTACATCTTTTAAAACATCTAGAAATATTATTTAAATCCGAATTTTTAATTCAGCTTTTAAAATAAAAGTGGTGATTGTATCTTAAGAAATCGTATAAGAAATGAACATGGAAAGGGGGGGGGGGAAGCCTAAAACGAGTGTGGCGACTCGAAGCAACATGTTGAAACGCTTGTATATGTTATTCGTTTAACGAAAGAACATACCTGATTTGCGCAGCTCAGGGAGGCCCTCTATCTACTCGTTCTTCCAGCTTCATCGCACTTCGTGGTCGTATACACAGTGGACACAAAAGTATACACAGAAAAATCAAGCGATAACCTCGAGGGTTGAAGTATTACTAAATATGAGCCACTGGATATGCTGCTCTATGCCATCACGCGCATGCGTAGATGAAGCATGCGCAGTCGAAGCATGCGCAGAACAAAACATGCGTAGTCGAAGCATGCGCAGAACGAATGAAAATTGGTCGTACAACGCCTGTTGTAGCCATACTATTTCCTGTGTTGAGTTATAGTGCGTGATATTTGAGTTAAGTTTTGTTATAATAAATTTATGTATTTTTAATTAGATAAATGAAACTTGATGCTTTGTCATTTATCTATTAATATATATGAAAGAGAAGAGGGCAAAACGAAAGAATCATATTTGAGGTTTACGTACAACGACGGTAAGCTTATATTATTTCTAAAAGATAAATTATTCAGAGTTGTAAGAATGTAATATTTACAATTTACTTATTTCATCATTGATAACGAGTAATTAAATGGTGTGCGTACTTGTTTTTCAATGAAGAAATGAAGAATGATACACTACAGAGCATATGCACGCGTGCATCATACTACTGTTCTGTATACGTGTGTATTGCATACGAATATATAGCTCACACAATCAGTATGCAGTGTATACAGTATGTGTACGATAAAATAGATAGTATATTACACACCCTGTAAATGAATTCATTCACTTTTCTTAAATGTATGTATAAATGTACGTAGTTACGATTAATTGTATGTATACCATTTTGTTACAATTAATTTGTATATCTTTTACGTACTATAATATCTACATTGTGTACGTTATTTTAGGTTATAGTAAATATTGTTTATTATATTTTAATATTTGGTTTCTTCTTTTGTTGCAGTTATGAAACAAATACCAGATACATTTTGAAGGAATGTTCTGATTATGTGTTAAATAATTATATACCTATTTAAATATTTACTCTTATGTTTAAAACATAATGAATAAAGCTCTATTTGATAATTATACAACAACTACAAAAATGAATGATGACAAAATTAAAGAGGAATATGCTAGTCATAATAGAGAGCTGGATCAGAAGTACTTTGTTGCCTGGAGTCCTCTAGAAGAAAATAAACGTTTATTTAAACAAAAATATATATCTTGTAGTAGATCAGTTCCACGTAGAAACAAACGTTTTATTCAGTACAGAATAAGTAGATCATTGAATTTTGATGCAAACATTCATAGTTCCAATTCGGAGAATAGTTCTTTTGAAGAAGATAAACATCTATCTAGATCTGCTAAAATAATGAGAGCTCTGAATTTCAATAGCAGTTCCTCCTATTATGGAAGAACAAAAATAAAGAAGTCACTGAACTTTAATTTAACTCCTAGCCCAAAACGGTTCATGCCTACTAAAAAAAGTATACGAAAAACTTTGAGTTTAAATTTTAATTCTCCATTGTCTGTATCAAACAAATGTTTGAATTTTGATGATAATCCAAATAATTCTGCTGATAATAGTTTATTATATTCATCTTCTGAATCTATTGACGAAAATCAGAATGAAACGCCATTGCAACAAAATCCAAAGGAATGTGGAATATTACATTATTCTACGCCTAATACGAAGTTAAATAAAAGATCGTTGTGTTCGACGGGACCATCGTTACGCAGTCAACTGAGGGAGACTATCGATAATATTGTCTGCATTACCGTAACACCTAACTCGCAATCTTTGAAACGTACTAAAGGCAGATTAGACGAAGTTACAAGTACTTCTAGAAATTTATTTCATGAATTTTATGATAATAACGATGATAGACCGAGCACACCTGAAAATGTAATTGATATAATTCCAGAAAGTACGAGTGCTATTAAAAGGAGCCATAAAAAGGTAAGCGGATTAATTTGAATAAATCACTCATTTTTATTCTCAGATTACTTTAATATACTATATTATGTTATGTAGGAAAGATCTTCAAGACGGAAAGATTCTCGATATACCGAGCATACAGATTCGTTAGAAGATTCTGCCGATCTGTATTCTAGTACTGATTTGAAAAACAGTCCATTGTGTAATTCTGGAAATGTATCAGACACAGGTTCACTTTTTGATTATGCAGAAGAAGAGGAAAACAGCTTTAAAGAATCTGGGGAAGCATCGAATTGTGACAATATTCTGTTTGAGGAGCATAAATTCGATATTAACGAAATAAAGTCGGAAGAAAGTGCAGAAAATTCTTTGGAAATAGAAAGTATAAATGAAAACAAATCATTTGAAAAATGCGAAGACGTTGATAAATATGATTTACCTGATCAGGATATCGATATAAAGTTTGATATTAGATCGGCGACTCCTGAAGCAACGGCAGAAGTTATATCGGAATCACAAACATCAGTTACTCCAGAGAATCGTATCAACTTCTTACAGAATGTTCTTAAAGATTCTATAAAAAAATCTCATAAAAAAATCAAAGATGATAATAAGAAGAAGTTGTTTAGCCCAAAATTTTTGCGAAGTAAATTCGAAACTGTGAATTCTAAACAGGACGAAAGCGAAGAAACGTCGGTTGAGCACAGGGAAGAACGAGCATGTACTCCCGAGAGGGTTAACTCCAGTCGACTTTTATTGTCGCAGTTCAGTTCTGTCAAAAAATCTCATAAAAAAGATAAACATAATAAAATATTGTCAGGGTTTCTGAAACGGCAGGAATATTTCAACAAAGAAATGGATTTATGTCAAAGGGAAGCAGATAACTCATTCGAATGTAAAAACAGTACCGCAGATGTTTCTTCGGATTTTGATAATACTGAAAATGTGAAAGATGCTGCCTCCTTCACGAGCGTACACGATACACCTCTGATTAAATTATCCCCACGCAAAAGCAGAAGATCATTAAACGTATCATTGGACTGCGAACCGAACGTGTCGTATGATTCTGATTTACAGGAAGCCGATTCATCGAAAGAGGAATTCAAAATTTTCACTCCTCTTAAAAGAAAGAGATCAACAGATGGTTCAGGCGTTAAGGAATATCTTCATTTTTACGATTTACCGTCTGGAAAAAATGAAGTTTCAGAAGACCTTGCTGTGGACATCGGTTTATCAAGGTGTTTAACGCCCATTCCAAACTTTCGGGATAATTATATAAAGACGGACGAGGACGATATGGAAGCAAAGAAATGTGATTCTACCGATGTAAACGGCAGGTCGACACCAAGAGATATGCCAACTACAGAATTATACGTTAATATAGATTCCATTAAAAGATCGCATAAGAAGAATAAACGTGCAAATAGTTCTTGGAAAGGTTTCGGTTTGTTTAACAATGATAGTTACATGGAAGAGCAAGCATTGGTGAAAAGTATCAAAGTTGAAGCATTAGAGAGTTCGAACGATTGCATCACGGTGGACGATGTGAACGAATCAATCGATCATGATGGTCAACTTGAAGTATCCACTGATCGCATATGTAACGAGGAGCGTGCGAGCGTTAGTACAAAACTCGTACCGTCGAATGTAACACCCCCAAATTGTTTGAAATCAAAAAATTATTTGAGACTGATACAGGAAACTTCTATTAAGCGATCGCACAAAAAAGTTCGAGATAAAAAGAAACAAGAATTGATAGTTGATGCGAACGAATTATCCGATGATGGATCTATCTTCGGCGATGAAGAAAAATTAGCTTGCGACGAAGATCAGTCGATCAAAGATTGATAATAATAGGTAGTAGCTACGATAAAAAGAATTACAATGTTTTCAAAGGTAACTTACTAACCTGATGAATTTTCTTAGTAGGTTGTTAGCCTACGTTCATGAAACGTTTACTTTAATCGAGTAATTCAAGTGTAAACGAATCTGATATTGTAATTCTATTCTCAATGCTTGGTTCTACAATCATTTTTTATAGTGTACACTTTTCAATACGATAACATTCGGAAATTAATAGAACGAAAAGGAGGTAGGATCGTCTTTCTATTTTTGTTATTTCATTGAATAGTATTTTAGTAGGAGTTTCACGATGTATCGATGTGAATTAAAGTAGCGTGTTATTTTGTATATTGCACGAATCGAAAGAATTCACAATTAAGTTAAGTAGAATAGATTTGATAACGATGGGTATTGGAATTAACATTAGTGGTATTTTTTATCTTCCCTTTTCATATGTTTCAGTTATTTTAAGTACACTATGCTGTAAGATTATTTGTATAATAAGTGATGGAATATGACAATTAATTGGACTATGTAATAATTAGAAGAATAGCAAGGAGCAAATTTCAAAGATATTGAAGGATGGTGGCCATTTGAAAAAAGAAAAGATCTTTGTGGCAATATGCGTGTGCATTATGAGAATACTGTATGTAATATGTAACCGATGAACGGTACAGAAATTTATAAGGCGGAACTCTGTATGTATACGTCCGATTGATGCTACGTTTCTCCAGTGTCTTCCTTTTGTAACGTTGAGCGATCTAGAATGGCGGTAACCGTATTTAATGCGTTAACTATCAAATGAATTGATTGCACATGCGACGTGTGCACGATAAAAGGTACATAAACGGCGACGCTTAACTTGTTCATACGAGGAAGTGCGCGCAAATCAAATCCGTGATCATTTTTGATTAACACTACGTAACAAGTATCGTCATGCAAAATTTATGCGATTAAGTAAAACGTCAAAGAACTTTGCTTCTATTATTTTCTGAACGATTGAATTATCAGCTATTCTGTATTAACTTGTTTTAGTTCTAAGCTATACGACAATAGACAAATGTTTCTAGCACAGAGAAGAAAATTTTATACATACTAATCTAGGACCATGTGTTTGAAAATACGTACGTTTAAGTTTAATAACAGATAAACGAATCAAAATAGATCATTTTTCTAATACAGTATTTGTTCGTTCTATTTGTTACGTTTAACGTCCTTGGAAGTTCATCGTTCTGGTTATCAATTTATTGTAGTTAAAAATTAATCAGGTTTATATAAAAAGACTATAATTATCTGTTTTTTATAGCCGCTTCTTATGTTAACTCTTAGTTTTGGAAGTTTGATTTGTTTACTGTTAAAAATGTTCGCTTACTGTTAATTTGTAAAATTACAAACAAGTAATGTTATCACTGTTTACGTGATAGTTGTATTATAAGAATTGAAATCGTGATCGAGCATTTTAAAGCAATTAACATGATGTTTTTCATTAGTTAATTTATTAAGCTATTAATCACTTGTAATTACTAAATCAGGTTATTTAAAATAAGAATAGTTTTTCATTTTGTATGTTATTCGAAATCTAATGCGCTAATATCATTTTGTATGCCTAATTGTTTCACGTATACGTAACATGTCTCGTGCTATAAATACTTTAAAAAAATGTTTGCGTTATAATGGGGGAAGTGGCGAAAATAAGTTTATGTTCCTTCAATGATCGATTAAATTTTTAAGCATATTGTCATTAAGGAAATACAATGTAATATGTTTTTTTTTTACAAATTTACAGACAATAATTACGAAATCAATTATAATATGTAAATATATACGAAATAAAACGAATAGTAAGTTTAATAATAAGCATTCTGAGATTGTTTCATACCTGTCTGTAAATTTAGTTTGAATAAAGGCGTTGATACGCGAAAAATTATTAAAATAATTGACAGACTAATATTCGTGTTTTAGAAATTTGATCCTACTGCTATCTATACAAAAACGGCTCAAACTACTCAACAACTTATCGATAGGAAAATCGCGGAAACTAGTTGGCTTCGTTGCAGTGCGAAGTGTTTCACATTTTTCTGCTAGGATAGAGCAGATGGCACTCGTTTTCGAGGCACAAATTCATGACCCCTCCGACTCCTCCAAAACAGGGGAAACAATAACTTATTGTTATTACATATTTGAATTGCATTAAACCACAGTAGATTTAGAAAAATTCATTAATTTCGACATATCAGCTGTACCCTGATTAAATAAACAATTTTAACGTTAAGCCCTTTCAAAATTTATGGAAGGAACGTGACACAAGCATGGGGAAATTAAATGTAACAATTTTGCGCTATTTAACGCGCGATGATTTTCGTGTTCTAACAGCGGTAAGTATTTCTATCTCATTGTTTATATGAAATTAATATAATATTGCATTAGGTGTATATATTTTTCTTTTTACATAGCTTCTTTCACACAATTTAAGGTTATGTCGAGATTTTGACGTGCATTATTTTCTATGCATTAAATAAATAAGCAATATTAAAGTATGTATTATTATAATTTTGATTACTTTCTTTCATAAGTTATTGTTTGATGTTACAGATTGAAATGGGAATGAAAAACCATGAACTAGTCCCTGCATCGCTTGCTGCTCAAATAGCAAATTTACGTTATGGGGGTGTTCACAAATTTATGAAAGAATTATGCAAACACAGACTTCTTAGTTATGAACGAGGAAAACATTGTTAGTTCACGTTGAAAATCAATTTTAGAACCTTGAATATTTTATGTATAAAACATTTCTTGTAAATTTTCAGACGACGGTTATCGTTTAACGAATGCAGGATACGATTATTTAGCGCTAAAGGTATTAGCTCAAAGAGGCACTGTTTCCTCCTTTGGCAATCAGATTGGAGTAGGAAAGGAATCCAACATTTATATAGTTGCCGACGAAGAAGGAAACCCTGTTTGCTTGAAACTACATAGATTAGGAAGAACTTGTTTTAGAAATATCAAGGATAAAAGAGATTATCATCAGCACCGAAAATCGGCGTCGTGGTTGTACCTATCCCGAATATCTGCGACAAGAGAATTCGCGTACATGAAAGCACTTTACGATAGAGGATTTCCAATACCGAAACCAATTGATCTGAACAGACATTGCGTGGTAATGGAGCTGGTTGAAGGTGGACCTCTGTGAGCAAAATTTACTGATTTCTTCTGCTCTATTGTTTCATACCATATACATCAGTAAAGTTTATATAAATAAACTTGTTTCAGATGCGGCGTGTACGAAGTGGACGACATCGAATGGCTTTACGACGAATTGATGAATTTGATCGTGAAACTTGGAAACCACGGAGTTATCCATGGAGATTTCAATGAATTTAATATCATGATAACGAGTAGTGGAAAACCGATTCTTATCGATTTTCCTCAAATGATTTCTACCGAACATGCCGACGCGAAAATTTATTTCGAAAGAGACGTGAACTGTGTTCGTGACTTTTTCAAAAGACGTTTCGCTTACGAAAGCGAGTTGTATCCAACGTTTGAAGATATTTTGTAAGTGATAAAAATAAGACACGAATGTTTCTGATATATTTAGAGAAATTAATTTATGTTTAGGAGAGAAGATTGTATCGACGTAGAAATTAAGGCCAGTGGCCTGACGAAACAGATGGAAAAGGATCTTTTAAGAGAAATGGGTATGATCGAATCCGAAGCCGAGGAAGCCGAAGAGGAAAGCGAGGAAAACGTTGAAGAGCAAAAAGAAAGTATGGATGAAAGTGAAATTAATTACTTGCAACAGCAAGTTGAGGACTGTGTGAGGAATGAATATATTTATACACCAAAGGACGTATCGGTCGATGCAGAGACAAATGAAGGTAGGGCACGAAAATTCGTGCGGTTCAAATTTTAAATCAAAATGAAGTATTCTAACTTTGAAGGTATTACTTCTGTTTCAGCAACGTTTGGCTCGGAGGATGACCAGGTACAAACAGGAGAGTTTAGTGATTCGAAAAGCATGTACAGTACCACTACAGTATCTACAATCGCGCCAGAAGTTATTAAGAAAAAGGTGAAATCAGCGTTGCAAAAACGGGAAAAGAGAGAACAATCTCGCAGAATTCTTGTTAAAGGGGAGGCAAATGCAGTGACCAGAGTAAGGAGAGAGAACAAGGACACGATTAAACAATCGACAGGGATATGGGGTTGGGAATGAACTGTATATACTTTTGCTACTCGTTATAGATATTTATAATATAATAAAAAAGAAAAAGGAATTTTATTCGTTGTTGCACTAAATCCCTATCATTCCCTACCGCGATTTCCCAGGTGTTGTACAATTTCTTGTTTTGAACATTTTTATCGTTCAGTTAATTAATCTAATCTTCAGATACCCAGAAATATGCTTCTGTTTTTGACTTTCCTCGACCTGTAACGTAAACGAACCGTACTTTTACAGGCTCATAACGATACGATATGATAACGTTAACGATTACAGAGTATCGTCGGTAGACAAGTCCTCTTTTTCTCTACATTATTTCAACGATACTCGGAGGAATTTTTATTTACAACGTCAAAATTCGGAAGAAATAATCTACTCAATTTTAAATCTCCTGCATTACGAAGCGATATGTGTAAAAGAAATTTGCATTGGTTCGATAAGATAGCGTTTAGTTTGCAATTAGATAGGAAGGTCGAAAGTCGTTTACGCGTAGGTAAACAGAGATTTTATTTATGCTCGAAAATTATGATCGTTCATTGCTATCCATGGATACAAACGATTCGTTTAACAGTTTTTTTAATATTTGAGCCAGCTGACTTTTCATCGTGATTGCTTTAAATAAAGTTTTTCAGCGTAATGGGTATCGGAAGATGATTAGGATCGAGCAAACACTTAATGCTACTTTGTAGCCTGTCATCATTGAAACGTTATCAGGAAGAAGAAGCTGTTGTTACGTCAAGCGAGAATATCGCTTCTAAAACATCGAATTCTTTACTTTCCACAGGCATGGTATTTCGCAATGGATCAACGATCCTGAACTCTGAACCTAAATGAACGAAAAATGATTGGAGCATCGGGAGCGAGCGCGTTCGTTCGATTCGAACGGAATCGGTTCGAGGGGTCCTCGTCGCGTTTCATAATTACCGAGTAACGAAGGAAAATGGGGGGAAGATGACAAGAGCCGAATGAGTAGCGATATTTTCCAGAGGAGAAAACGATCCCACAGGGTACGGATGATAAGGTAGCTCGTTGTGGTGATCGCGAGAACTAAGCATACGACTGCTTATATATAGACGCGGTTTTGCTCTTCCTTCCTAGTTCGAGTTTCGTTCCACTGGTATTCTTTCGTTAAATATTCAGGATATATCGGAGACACCTTGCCTTTTAACTGCACTCGTTCGATCGTAATTAGTTTCATCGATCATGGCCAAGGACAATCTCACCGCTATTCTCTACGGTATCAACGATATTCGACTGGTTAGTACGAATTTTTTCTGACCAATTGATTTTCATACAAATTAAGCGAAATTTGTTTTATTTCAAATATGTCATCGTATTATTTCGATCGGTGAATCGGTATTCGACGCGCCTGTTCCGCTGGTTCGTTCATTTCAACGCCTTCTTTTTTCTTGCCAATTCTTCAATTTTATGTAATTTTAATATAAATTGCAAATTTGGCAAAAAGCGTGCAACGGGAGAGGAAGAATTATTCGATCTCACCTCGACGAACCGTCTAACGTTCGAAGGGATTGTCTCGGGTCGATTTAATTTCTCTGTCCGCTCTATTATTAATTCAAACGGTGCGTGCCATTCGGAACGGTCAATGTCAAAGACGAGACGAATCATTTGCTCGCGTGCAAGGACGAGATTCGCTAGTTTTCTCATTATATCTTCGTTGTTTGTAATCGCCTATTCCGCTCGATCTCTTCCGCGTTTTCTATGTACAGAGCGGATTACGAGATAGCGCGACACGCTCGTTTCAAACACCCTATCATTTTTTCAATACGCTTCTTGTCATGCTATTTCATTTGTAGGGCGCGAAATCCCTCGATTTTCAATTTTTTCAATTATTTTGCTAATTATTACTAACGTTACGCGTACTTTTTAATTTCAGGAACAAACTCCGATCGAGGAACCCAATCAGGATGGTGAGAATCATTACGTTCGAAAAGAACCAAAGTGTTTATAATTCTATTCTAATATTGTTGAATTTATTTTACGATTAAAATATCGTTGAATTTAATAGAAAATTTAATTAAATTCTTTCATTAGAGGTACTCCTGCAGATGGGTTGCGTCGGGATTTGCGGTTCCGACGTTCATTATTTGGTGAGCGGAGGAATCGGCGATTTCGTGGTGCGAAAGCCTATGATCATGGGTCACGAAGCTGCCGGCGTGGTCGTCAAACTCGGAAAAAACGTGAAACACTTAAAGGTGCGCATTTGATTAATTTTTTACCATTATTTACTCATCGTGTGCCGAATGTTCATATCAGGTCGGCGACCGTGTGGCCATCGAACCTGGTGTATCCTGCAGAATGTGTACATTCTGTAAAGGAGGACGTTACAATTTGTGCAAGGACATGGTGTTCTGCGCTACTCCACCGGTACATGGCAATTTGAGGCGTTTTTACAAACACGCAGCTGACTTTTGTTTCAAGTAAGCTAGGATCGAGGAAGTAGCACGTGGAAAGGATACTTTCTTCTCTCGAAAAATTACGAATATCACCGGTATACTTTTCAGATTACCGGACAATGTGACGTTGGCCGAAGGAGCACTATTGGAGCCATTATCGGTCGGTGTGCACGCGTGTAAACGCGCTAACATCAGCATCGGTTCGAAAGTTTTGATTTTAGGAGCCGGACCGATCGGTCTGGTGACTTTATTGGTAGCCAAAGCCATGGGTGCCAGTAAAATCGTTATTACCGGTACGTTCACCTTCAAAAATGTACTTTTTCTTACTTTGACTCTTGTAATTAACCGACGATCGTCTTTAGATCTGTCGCAAAATAGATTGAACATGGCGAAGAAGTTAGGTGCCAATGCTACGTTGTTGATTAAGCCCGAATACGCGGAGGCTGATGTTGTAGCGAAGGTCCACCAGCTTTTCGGAGGCGAGGAACCGGATCGTACGATCGATGCTTCCGGTGCGCAATCCTCGATCCGTTTGGCGATCCTCGTGAGTTTTCTTCTTATTCTGCTTTTGCTATTTAATTCATTTCGCGTATGATTCCATCGATACCGGTGGAAAACTTATCTAACGTAGAGGGTGTGTTTCAGGCAACGAAATCCGGTGGAGTGGCAGTGATGGTAGGAATGGGTGCAGCAGAGGTTCAAATTCCATTGATTAACGCGCTCGTAAGGGAAGTCGATATCAGAGGCGTGTTTCGATACGCGAACGAGTACGTTTCAACTCTACCAATACGTAATCTCTATTCGTATAAACAGCTATCTCTGGGGAGCTCGAGTTTTCTTAAAAATAGCTATGATACATTGAAAGTAAGAAAGAAAAGTGATGAAATCGTTTAAGAATCTTTTCCTTCCGTCTTTTTCAGTTACTCTGACGCGCTGGATCTGTTGGCAACCCAAAAAATCGACGTGAAACCGTTGATAACTCACAATTATAAAATAGAGGAGACCGTAGAAGCGTTTGAAACTTCGAAATCGGGACAAGATGTTATTAAGGTCATGATATATTGTAACTAGAGCAACGAAAGTAACCTTTCGTTCCTCTTTCTAAACGCTACGGACAAGATTTGGTAATCACGATCGGTGAAATATGAAATATCGGTGACGTTAAGTGGTCTCGGTGTTAGATTTTTATCCGAATAACTCGAACGAGATAAACGCGCGTTTTATACGAAATTTTTATTAGGCGTATTCGAAGAAGGTGATAAATCTACGCTTTTAAACTTAGTATGCTTAAAGTTGTTTTTTAGAATATTGTTTCTAGGATATTTGATGCGAAACGATGGCACTGTACGCGGCAGGTCCGTGTAGAAAGAATATCGTTTTCAAAGATGTTAGGTGGTTTTTCTTACATATTAATACGCTGGAAACCCGATAACAGTAATATCCTCTCGATAAATGTTCCGATGGAAAATTTTCATTACGATTTTTTTATTTGACGAACGCTGTGCGGTTACGCTACGCGAATATTACGTAATGCCGATATTGTAATCTATAATTGCAGTTGTTTCGAGTGCTCAATTCGCCGTCAAGTGCGAACTGTTTTTATTATCGTCCAATTAAAGTTGAAGTGCCGGAAAGATTGTTAGATCGTTTAATTTCTGATTATATAATAAACCCGTTAAGTTTGCTAATAAATCTCACCACGAATGTAATTGGCACGTTAGAGAAAACGAGTCTAGACGGATAATACGCGTTTCTAGAACGAAAAGTTCAAGTATCCCATACTATTTATTTTCGAAAAGAATGATTTTCATTGAAATAAAGGAGGAAAGGTGTGTCGAGTGGTGGGTTTCAACGATTTAAAACGGATCGAGAGTATTCACAGGAAGAGACTTAACCATCTGTGATATTGTCTGCTAACAATGACACCGCATGACTTCTTCTATTAGCCTTCTACGTTACACGAGAGGTACTCGAAACGCGCAGTCTGTTTTCGAGTCACTCTTGTGCTCGAGTTTCTTTCTTTTTTTTATATCAAGATACGTAATATACACCGATCGATCAACCTGGTGGTTGAGAGCAGGAGACCGTGGTAAATGTCTACAATTAGGGCCTCAACGAGAAATTAATTGAAAAGAAGTAAATTCTATGTATTTTTACCCCCCACGAATGTAAAACTATCGACAAAATTTCAGGGTCGCCTGTATTTACTAAGATATTGTGGTAAATATTCACATAAAATCATCATTTTCAAAAGTTAATTACTTTTAAAGCGTATCACTACCTACATAGGTTAGGTTAGTTTATCAGAAAAAATATAACTTACCTCGCGGCAAAAACTCGACCAGTCAACAATAGTCTCCATGTTCAGTTCCAATTAGGGATGTTCGATTCACCGGAAAGAATCGATTCCTTTAAAAAATTGACACCAAATCGGTTTAAAAAATTGCGAGAATCGGTCTAAAAAGAATCGGTTTGAAAGAAATTGTCTTTTCTTGTTTCCTTTTTGTAACACACTATCCCATACGAGTCTTCTGTGCGACATCGATTATCGTAAAGAATCGATCTTTTATTTTTTTATATTTCGTGCTCTTATACCAAAAGTAGGTTCACATTGTTTATATTTTAATCACTATTCTTATACTTTTTTTAGGAGTGAATGTGTTTTTATGGATCAGAAAAATCGATTCTTCTAAAAAATCGATTCCGAATCGAACATCCCTAGTTCCAATGCATAGTCCCTAGTTCATAGAACGCACAGTGCGGAGGACGCGTCGCGAGAAAATTTCGAATAAAAAACGGGCAATCGTCGTGATATCAAGATTAAAATTGGCTAGCAACGTACCACTTTTAACAGTTCGTTTAAATTTACACTTTGAAGCTATTCTTTTCAAGGAGACTATTGATGACTGGTCAAGCTTTCGCCGTGAGGTAAGTTATATTTTTTCCGATAACCTAACCTATGTATCTTAAAAAATACAAGCGACCGCCAAATTTTATTTGGATTCGAGGGACAAAAATACGTAGAATTTACTCTCTTTTCAATTGATTTCTCGTTGGGATTCCTAATTGTAGACATTTACCGCAAAGCGCATATTTTTCTAAAATCTACCATCACTTATGAACGAAAATTTGTATCGTTTGAAAAAAATCAAAATGGCTGTCGCCGTAGACAGTGAAGCTCGGTGACGGTTTGGAAGAGAATTTCGATTCTAAAGGAGAGAGAGGTTTGAAAAGCATCGAGCGGTGCATTATCGGGGACGGTGGATAATTAATTAGAGTGGCAGCGGGAATGTAAACAGAGATTCGGTCGAACGAGGCAGAGTGGTAAATTCGGTTCGGCCGACTGGAAGATTTCGGTGTATATTCGGTTTGGTCTTTGGGGCAAACATAATCGACGTCGATGCGTTTCCCTTGAGAATCAACGTCGATTCGTCGTCGTCGACGGAAGTCGTCGTAGTCGCGAATACCGACGAAATTTTCTTACCTGTACCATCAACGAAATTATTGTCGCTGTTTCGAGAACGATCGTTCCACTGATTTCTCGATTGCTCCTGTATTTACGTACCGCTGCCCATTTTCGAATACACACATTTGTGTACGTTCGTACACACGTGCTCGATCGGATCTTACTCAAACGGTAATTCGTTGGAAAGTAAACAGAATAATTCCCAGTACGATTTTCATGACTTTCGACACACTTCATGTTTCCAGCTTAAGGGCCGCAATTTTATTCTCGATCGAATATTAAAACAAGCTTGGTAGCAGGACAATCCAAGTATACGGGGTTCGCGTGTAAGTCGGTAGACCGCAAGTAGATTCTCTTTCACTTTGCGGTTTTCGCGCGCGTGTTTCGCCGCGCGAGACCACGATATTTCATGGTAAGATATACCTTAGTACCGGAAGGATACGTTCGGGGCGAGTGGGTGTCACGGAAGTGACGTGGAACGTCTTTCCGTTTCTAGTTTGCGGTCTTTTAACCGTGGACAAAAGTTTAAATAGCTTTCGATAGAATCGCATTATCTACAAACGTTCTTTTGCACCTCCTCATTCGTTAATTCGCACCGTTTCACATAGCTGGGATGGAGACGGGGGTGGCATAATTACGAGCGAACGAGTTAGGAAGAAGAAGCTGAGGCAGAAGATAATCGTTTCGGCGAATCGTTCGATCGAGTCGCGGTACATCGAAATCACGTTAATGGAATCAGTTGGAAGGTAATCCATTTTCTCGCGACAAGAAGCAGGCCGCGGCGTGGCGAGGTGCTCGTAATTGCGTTAGAGTAATTACGTTATACGCGTACAAATAGCACTTTCCCAAATAATAATAGCAAGTGGTATCGAGTAGAAGCTGCGTCGCGTTGACGAACAAAATATACTCGACCGATTTATTTTATCTTACTCTACTTTTTTTCCTATCATTCAGCTTCAGCTTCGGTTCGATTCTATTTAGCGCAAAATCCCTCGAAAGCATTGTTTCGCGAACGGGGTGGAAAATGACGCGGTCCGCGTGGCGAGATTTAGATGGAAGTTCGATCGGATCCTCGAGGAGAGAAATTTGGGTGGAGATTCCCGGTGATACGAGGTGCCGTGAAGGACGGGTAGAGTGGGCAAACGGAGGGTGGAGAGAGAGGATAGAGGAGAAGAGGGAGCGAGAATCGGAAAAGGTGGAAGGGTGGTAGTTATCTCGCGAGTTCGCGTGGGAGGTCACGTTGGATAGAGGGTAGGTGAGGCGACCCACGACCTTCGACCAATCACGATTCTAGCTTGAAACTGGGCTGCCAATGGGGACGCTGTCGGGGTGACCTCGTGCGCGATTCTCCTTGCACTTTATCACCGAGAAACCACCCCCACGATGTTAAAAGGTGAAACCTCACCTTTTCTCCGCCGCACGCGCACCGACTGCTTCCTAACGCCGGTTAAATACCAACCCTTCGGTCCCTCTTTCCTCCATTTTTCCAATTCTAACGAGTTTTCTGGAACTCTGTCGAATTGTCGGTAATTTCGTTTGTTTCCACCATTTTCTATAAAAAAAGAGTAACTTGAACCGGTGATTTTCTTTCAACTATTTTGGGCCAAGTTCAATTTTGATATCCTTCGTATTTTTTCAACTTTCCACTTAACGATTATCCGCTTTGTTAAGACCTTTCGCTCAAAGGCTCCCTCCTTCTCTTTCTCGCTTTTTTCGAAAGGTTCTCTCGTACGATCCGAGGTTTCATTAGTCCTCTAATGCGTCTGGTATCCTGCGGGTCGTTGTGGCGCTCGAAAAAGGATCACCGTCTTTTTTCTCTGGAACGGTAAGGATGCGCCAGGGATAGGGATAAGGGCGCTACGTGCCGGAGTGACTGATGAACCACCGGCTAATTACCTCCTCTCTGTGCCTCATAATACGGACGTATTAATAACCCGCATTTATATATCCGTGAAAAATGGCCGCTTATCTCGCTTCACGAGCTCGGAACAGTTGCTCACCCTTAGAATACGAGAATCGAGTCGAATCTCTTTCATCGTTCGACCAAACCGTCTCTTTTTTCCTTTTAACATCTCGCGAATCACCTTCGTTCGATCGTTGCTCGACCTCTACCACTTATCAAAGTAACAGTATTTTAACGATAATCCATGGAGTATCTTGCGTTTATCGCGTCGTCTGTTAACGCGTTGATCGATCTGTCCATTGTTTGGTCTCGTATTAACGCTGAATACCTGATTGGTATGTAAAGCGAGGTATCGGGTAGAAGCGATCAATTTCTCCAGTTTGTCGGCTCGTACCTATGCGATTACGTACAAATCGTGATTGCAGTTTGAAAACGTTTCAACGCGCGATTTCGTATGCGCGTGGTGGTTCGTAGGAAACGGTCGACGACGATTCAGCAAGATATTTCGAAAGATCAAAGCGTTCCGCGAGGGCGTTCCTTCCGTTTCAGCTTCGACTAAATAAAAAGCGAGCTTTGCGTTTTTCACGAATGACTGCGTTTAGAAAGTGACGAGAGGTAGAAAGTTGAACGACCACCTTGGTCTTAACCGTAATCCCGAAGAGTGACGAGCGTCGAAGCTACGCGGGGATTCTTCCGCGACGTTCCATCGTCCCCTTTACGCCATTTCCTCTTTCCCTCTCGCTCATTTTTTCGTTTAATCGCGATTCATCGTCGTTTTTCTTTCGAGACCATTCGTCGATCGTTCAGCGACCTCGCGAACGAAATGAAAAGTAGGCACTAATTCGTAATTTGGTCGAGTTTCGTGGAAGCGCTTTGAAAATATGAAAAGCAATGGTAGATGGTGGCGCAAAGGACGTCGCGACAAAAGCCACGGCGCGGGCAGCTTCAAAGCGATCCCGGCTTCGTCCACCCGCTTTTCTACTCCTCCCTGCAGCTTCGCTGGCGCGCTTTTTCACCCTCCAATCGTTCCTTTCGAATCTGTTTTCGTCAATCGTATAGAAATCACGGCTCGTGGGCCACGATTTCGGTTAAAACGTTAAAAATTCCGGTGTAAGAAAATGAGACGAGAAGGGGTTGCGAGCGAGCAGCTGTCGCGTCGATACGCTAGACCGTTCTTGCGCGGATTCGATCTACGTCCTCGTAATATGTACTCCGGATATGCGTGTATTGAACGGCGCGAATGTCCGACCGGAAGTAATTAGATCCGCATTCAAAGCTTCCCCCGGAAACGTCGAGGTTTGTATCGAGGGCTAGCAAGACGAAGCGACGTTAACCAACGAGGGGTAAATCGTAACATTTTCACCCGAAGGGGTGCAATATTTGGAAATTTCTTCAACACTTTTACCGAAAAAATTCCGTTCAAAATTGTCGCGAGACGTGGTCGAATTTTTTATTCGAAGCAGGCTGCTTTTGCTGTCGCTTGCCCCACCTTCCTCGTTTCCTCGATGCGAGAAGGATAATTTCCCCGTCGCAAACTTTTCACCGGCGCGTGATTTTCGCGCGAGAAATATGAATTGTTAATAGGTGGTAAAAGGAATTTTATGTTACTCTAGGTAACGCCGCGTCGATACGTTCTTAGAGGCGGCCTCCGCCGTGGCGAAGTCCGCGCGGACTATGTAAATCCAGCCGATATGCCACCTACCACCACCCTTCGCATATATTACTTCTTATTTCATTTTTTCTTCTCGACATCATTTTCATAAGGGGCCGGTACTTTATTCACAGTTGCGAGAAATTCTTAACTTCGATTTCGCGGCTGTTGTTTCGAAAAATCCAAGGATGATTACCGGAAACCCGGACGTAGCGGTGCTTTTACAACGAGGAAGAAT